TCCTGGTTGAGAAACTACTGTTTGCCTGATGTGCATCGTGTCCTTGTCATCTTACTGCCAATAGTCTTCAGCCAAGTACTAAAGACGGCCTGAAAAGGCAGAGTGACAAGCAGGGGTGCCAGGGCAAGGCAAAGAGAGAAGTCGGTCACTGCAGTGTTACTGATATTTTGCATACCTATTTGGAAATATATTAAAAAATCAAACATACATAAGCTGTCAGTCACTTCAGAAAAACACTGAAATTTAGCCTTTGTTCTAAAGGACACCATCCTGAAATGTCCAGGACATTAGGAATTGCACTAGAGCGGTCAGAAGGGACAAATCTGTGCAGGTTGCCTTGAAACATTCCTAAAATGACCTGAGGAATCAGGTAATCTGATGACCTGAGGAATGCCCTTGCTGGCGTTTTCTGGAATGTGCAGAGCTGGGACCTGGGCAAACAGGACCCAAAAGGAGATGAAGTAAACATACAGATTTTGATAGGACAAGGGGGAGCAGCATTAAGATGAAGGGGGAAGAGGGGTTACATTAGATATAAAGAAGAAATTCTTCCCTGTGAGAGTGGTGAGGCCCTGGCACAGGTTGCCCATAGAAGCTGTGCCTGCCCCATCCCTGGCAGTGTTCAAGGCCAGGCTGTACAGGCCTTAGAGCACCCTGGTCTAGTGGAAGGTGTCCCTGCCTGTGGCAGGGGGTTGGAACTGAATGATCTTGAGGTCCCTTCCTACTCAAACCATTCTTTGGTTTTAACAGACTTCAAGGTAAATGTTTGCATCAGAACAAAAGACTGCAAAAAGCTGGTCTTCACAGGATTCAGTGGACAAAGGTCTGGGCACAGAGATGTTTTGTTCTTGGGAATTTACATGGTTTGTTGTATAAGACCAACCTTCACCCAAGATAAGGAGCTGGCATCAGACAGAGACCTTGATTCAGGTTCTCTGTGCAGCGCTGACAGTGGGAAGCAGCAGCTGAGGTTAGCAGCCCAGTGGTCAGTGCCATATAGTTTCAAATCCAGTTCCACAAATCCTTGTTATGAGAAAGCCAGGATGTTCAATGGAAAACGGAGCCACGAGGATCAGGAAGGCCCTTTTTGACAGTTCATGCTAAAACAGGAAACTTAGTTTCTGCATCTGTGTCCATCACAGAGCTTTCTTCATACAGTGCTCAACGTTGAAACCAAAGTTCAAAACCCACACCAGGTTTGTACAGCAGGTTAGTCTTACATTCTATCAGAAACAGATGGAAAAACAACAACAACAAAACCCCTTCATATTAGGAAATAAATAAATTAATCAAATACTTTCTCATAATGCCGTTAAGATCATCTGGTAAGTTGTTTTGGAACCATTAGAATGATTGCAAAAATCTGCTGATGAAAGTGCAAGTATGTAAGCCTTAAAAGAAACATTAAATCACTGAAGGGTGACTTTGTCAGGCCTTCGTGTTGGTTAGATTGTTGCCTTATGTAGCAGCCCTGGCATGACAGGGAGTTCCAAGCACCTAGTTCACACAAAGGTAAAACAGATGGTTAAATAAGTGTTCTGTATGACTGCATGTCCCTAATACATCTCCTGGATGCTGGTGGCCTAGAAACAAGCTTCACGATTGAGAAACACCAATAAGCAAATCCCAGCCCACAGAACTGCTGCAGATTAATAGGCTCTTTGAAATCAGGTACGCAGGAAAAGCAGGAAAAGGAAAATACTGCCTCAAGGGAGACGTGACAAAAACTAATGTGGAGCTTCTCATTTCCCTAACACCTTCGGTAGTGATGCCCCTGAGATAGAAGGGGTTTCAGGGGAGATGGTAGCTGGGGCAGGAATCAGTCACAGATGAAAATGCAAGGGTAGCCCCAGGGCGCAGCTCCCAGCAGGCTGTAGGAATTTACCATGGTGACCAGTGTTCCCAGCCGCTCCCATTTTACCTGGCAACGTGTTTAATATTAACTTCTACATCTGAGGCCCGGAGTGGGAAGTACCAGCAGCAAGGTCTCAGGGTCACTGCAGGCAGACAGGCCTGGAAAGTCAGCCAACACTGCAGCAAGCAGAGGAGGGAGTTATCCGCAGTTACCCCCAGGTTTGCTACACAAACTGTCTCCAGCTGTTCTTTAGGGCTTTCTCTTCTGCCAACCACTTACTCACTGTAGTTCTGACTGCCACCCCAGCCCTTATACCATCATCAGCCATACATCACATTTCAGAAACAGGCTGGGAATAGCATGACCAGCCTGTCTCTCAAGGGCTGGCAGGTATCAAACTGGCCCACTCTTTTCCTGGCTCAGCAAGCCTCAGTAGCTTTTATAGTACAGCAAAAGTTGGGGTTAGCCCTTGAAAAATTGCTCATGTAAGATCTTATTTTCATTGCATAATAACACACAAAACCAAATCAAAACCTGGGATGTATACAAGACTGCAGGAATGCCCTCAGAGCTGCTTGAGTGGCCCTGTTTTGTCTTGGAGACCTACACATCATATTGGAAAGCTGAGCTAGAAATCCAACTGGCTGATTTTCCACTTGGTTTGAGGAGAAAAATGGCAGATCAAGCAACACACTTTTACTCCTGACCTATCTGGCAGACTGAACTGGATGCCCCCTGCATAAGATCATCTTGAGATCTTCTTGATGTTGAGAGTTGGAAGCTGAGTGACCAGCTTGATTACTAAATCATCTTGCCTGGTAGCATACCAAAAATGTGATAGCCCAGATGGCTCCTACACTACTGCAGTCTTTCCAAGTAGATTTAATTGAAAATAAAATTATATCATTTTAATTTGTGTTTATTTTTTAAAAATGCTACTTTACCTACACATTTTCTTTTCCATACATCTGACTACCCATCCCCCCAAGAAGAAGATACCATTCACAGGATCTTCAGGATCCATTTATGATATCTGAGGATGCAATTTATCATTTCTGCAATTAAATTCCCTCCAGATGCATAGCAAAAGCCAGAGGCAGATTGTCTTTGTAACTCAGCAAGCTGTGTTTGAAGTTTCTTGAATGTGTTTAGTTGAAGAGATTGGAAGGATGTAGAAAATAAGGTGACTTTCATTACTGCTGAGTTAAACAAAAATTGCAAGAAACTTCTTTTGAAAGGGTAAGTGTAAAGTGCAAATACTTCTTTAACAACCTATGTTTTACAATTTCCTGATTAATGGATTGCAGTCAAATCAGTTCCATGACACTGATTACTTTACCAGTACATTAGCAATTACTTCAGCTGGTTTTATGTTATGTGTGGAAGCTGCATACAATTATGTTCGTCCTTTATCCCATAAATCAATGCCTTCATGGGTAGCAATTTAACCCTGAACTCTCATACTTTCTGCACAATATAAAATCAAAACATTTGTAATAATCAGTGCATTATATCTCAAAGTATTATTGCTTTTTATGAGGGGAAAAAGATTTATTTGTTTCAAAGTCCTCTTTCAAAGCCACCCTGGAACTGCTAGATTAGATTGTCTTTATGGTAGGAGACTACAATAGTTGTCCCCTGCGAACCCAGCTTGTGTTGGTGTAGCCAGGTGTCTGCATCATGGAGTATCACCATCTTTAGACCTACAGCTTTCCTCACTTGGGAGACCAGAGCTGGGTAGAGCTCTTACCCAGAGAAGAAAGAGCTTAACAGCTGTATTTGGCAAAGTTGAGAGGGAGGCATGAATGCAATTCCTCTGCTTTTTAGGAATAAGTACAAAGGGTCTCAGTCTGCAGAGGCATTGTTTCAGTGAGCAATGAATTCACACATTAAAAAAATATATCAAACAGCAAAGGAATCTGAAAAATGAGAGAAGTCTTTTAAAGAGCGAGGGGGGAATCTGGCACCATGGGAACAAAAATAATCACAGCAGCTTTCCTTGCCCCGTTGTGAAATGGCCCCCTGCACCCCAGGCAGCGAGCAGTTCCAGAGGTCAGCTGCCTGTGGTTAATAATAAATGGGCTCTCTTTGCCAGGAGCGCCAGGCTGCACACCCTCATGTGCTGCTCTGGGCCCCCCCCCCCGTCTTCTCTAGGGCTGCCCAGGCACTGCTCCAGCACCCGCCCAGCCTCCCTGCATGAGGCGAACGCCCAGAGGTAAGAGACATTGCTCCATGAGGTTGGATAAACCGGATCGATCATGAGGAGAGGCGAGCAGGGAAGGTTTGGAGGAGGGAGGAAAGCCTGTCTGTGCTAGAGGAGTCTGCAAAGTTTTGTTACAAGGCAAGAGGTCGGGTGGGTCTTGCTGTAAGACTTGCCAAGCTTAAAAACCCTTTCAGGAAGCTCAGGCCAAGCGTTGGCTGAGTTTCCAGGGAACATCAGCTAAGTTGTATTGACTTTCAGGTGCTGACCAGCTGGGTTTTATCCACCAGCCGGCACAGCTTGGGCACTCCTGGCTGTTGTGCTCCAGCATTTGGGGGTTGTTAACATTCAGAGCACAACCCAAGCAGCTAAACTGATCCCTGGCGTAACCTTGTTGGCTTAATGAATTTATTCCAAAGCTGACTTTGCCCTGGAGAGCAAGGGGTGTATACACACACACAGAGCAATACAAAACATTTGCATGAACTACTCAGGCTGCTGAGCTTAGCACTGCACAGGCAGAGGTTGTAAGCATGAAGTAAGAGCTTTTGCCGCTTTGCTGTCATAATATGATTCCATAAACTTGATTAAGATTTTTATCCTTAAAAAGGATTTGGAAAGTGGAAAATCTTATTGTTTCAGACAGGTGTGTATTGTGTCTAGCTGAACTAGGCCCTCTTTTCTTGACTTACACAGCCCAGCTGTCCTGTATAACTGAAGTTTTCGGATCTGGGCAAAAATACTCTTCCTGGGTAAAAGATGTTTTGGTATAGCTCTAGTGCCACACACTGGGCTCAGAGCCGTGTTTCTGCTGAATGTAACATGAGCACAGAACTTATTTTAATTGATTTGCCATCTAAATTAACAATAGGTGCAAAGGACTGAAGAGTGGAATCTTCTGGTGAAGGCGTGAAGAATAGAAAGGCAAAACGCCCAGGGAAAATAAGCAGCCAGGCATTGAGTGAAACTGCCCCGAGGCCCAGACCAGACCAGTCTCTTAACCTTTACAGCTCTCTCTCCCTCTTTTTCTGTTTGGAAATGAATGTAATTAAAGTGAATAGGAGTTGCTAAGAGACCAGAGGAGTTCTGGAGTTTGTTGAAGGGGCTGAACTGCGGCTCTGCTTCCACGGCTTTGCGCTAAGAAGGATGATGTAACGTGAGCCTACATAAACCTCTCCGGGCTCTAGGGAAAGCTGCTCTTTCCTCCTTGTACTTACAGCCTGGTTTAACAGTTCCCAGCTCCTTTCTTTGTTTTATTGAACGGCTGTTTTCTCCTAGACACCAGCAAAAACTGGGTTCATATCTTTATAGCATTCCTCTGCCTGAGTCCACCTTGTACATTGCTCTTCGTGATCTTTCAGGCTGGAGGTGGCAGTGGCTGAGCCTGCAATCTGTCATGAGCAAGTAGCTTTGGAAATTAAAGTTGTCTACTTCCAACCTCTCTCTAGTTTGTTACTCCTCATTAGTTACTCTGCTTCCCCACGATTTCAGCCCAATGTTAACAACGGGTCAGGTGAACCCTTCCAACTCCATTTCTGCAGCATAACATTTTGCTTTGACAGCCTGGCTCATGCTTGAAGCACCAGGAGTCTCCAGGCAGTCTCCTGGGCAAGGGTTGTTTACCTGCCGAGATCAAGGCAATAGATGGTATGTTTAGCTTCACATGGTCGCATTACTGCTAAATTACCTCATTTGTTTTTACCTGACTTTTGTTATCTCAGCACCGAGTGCAAAGATGATTGGGAAGATAGCCTGGAGCCTGGGAAAACATGTGTCTACTGTGGCATGTGGGACCACCCATGTGAGAAGATTTCTGCATGGTAAGTAGTGTATTCTGAGAGTTCCTGGGTGAAAAGCATTTTCCTCATTTGAATGCAGCAGGGACCTTGCTGACAGTGTTCTGGGAGCAAAACAAAGAGCAACAATAGTCTTGATGCACAATAGTCTTACAATATATTGAGTTACTATGGTATCCTTGGTCTCTCCACTCTTTGAGAACCTATTCTTTGGGCATGGTTTCAGGGCTCTGTTCACAGTAATGTTAATTTAAAGTAATGTTACTGGAGCCAATGACAATGCAGCTGCAAAACTGGTGGCAGAGGAACACTCAGTGATGATGATGAGGATTATTGTTCATACCAACAACAGAGATATTTTGCAAATATTTCACTTACATAAGTGAAGCTTTGTGAAGTTATTTCTGAATTCACCCCAAAGAACAACTAAGAGGGGGATAAATTTATTGTGATGATGACAATTTGCCTTTTATAAAACAGCTCAGTAGTAACTTCAGATGTCCACACAAATAATTCACTTTTCTGTGTTTATTCCCAGGTGCTTACATCAGGATTCAGCCTTCCGTACAGGAAGCCCTGATGGAGGGGAGACCAGTCGTAGCCTTGGAAAGCACCATCATTACACATGGCATGGCCTATCCTCAGAATTTGAGGTGGTCCATTTTGATGTTCCTTGTTCAACAAAGTTGTAAGAACAGGCATATAACTGGTGCATCAGGACTGGTTTTCTTGGTCAAGGCAAAACCCCTGTAAGAGCAAATGGAAATTGTCAGGCATGCAGAATATGAGCTCTGGTGTAAAACAGTTGTATTTGGCCTTTTAAGGACACATACGGGGTACCTATTTATCTTCTTATCCAACACCATACCTTTCTGGCTTCCTTTAAAATGTGGCAGCAGATAATGTCATCACTTGCTCTGAGAGAAGTTGCATAGTTTGTACAGACATTGAAAACACATTGAGGTTTCTTTTGGTATATCTTTCATAATGCAAAAAGGACTGGAATACAATAGTGAAATCTGTTCCTTGCTGCCACTCAGAGCAGCTACTGTGAGAGCTACTGGTCCCTCTTGCTGCTTTCTGTACCCTGCATGGAACCCCTCCAACCTCTACCCTTTATTTACTGATGCTCAGTAGACTTGTGTTTCATTGGGTTACAGTGCCAGAAATCATTGCACTCTCCATCCTTGCTTCCAGAAAGCACAGGAATTTTTTGGTATTGATTTTCACTCTTGATTTTTACCTGGCTGTTGTTATTCCTGACATTCTTAGAATGAAACCCTAAAAACCTGGTTTTGGGAAGGAGGTAGTTTCAGTAGTTACAGATTGCCTAATGTATGTGCAGATGGCTCAGAAAAGAAGAAGCTGCTCTTAAAAAGGATAGCGTATGATTGATGAAATATAAAACCTGTGAAGCTTAGAAAGACCTAGACTGTAGCCCTGTAGTATCCTCAGGCACTCTGTATCTAACTGCCTGTATTGTGAAAAATATATTCTGATCTTCTGAGCAGGGCTTCAATTACCCGAGGTTTCTGTGAAGGTTTATGATCTCAGAGAAATAATAGGTAATAGATACAGAAAGATCCTATTTTGAGGCAATCCCTGTTTTTCAGTAGTCTATTGTACAACTAGATTTGCCTGTACACCAAGCAATGTTTTCTCAAAGACGAAGCATAAAGTTGGACATTTGTGTCCTGAAAATGGGACCTCTGCACTTCTGCAAATTCAAATGCAAAGACTTTTGCCACTAGGAAGATACAGAAGAGGAACTGGACTTTGCTGAAATCACAAGGACTGTATAAAACTTGAAGCTGGGAATAATGGCCACCAAACATGGCAGTTTTCTTGTCTGATTGTTTGCTTCATGAATTTTGTGACTGTTGTCTTGTTTATCTTATTCTAGCATGGCCAGAGATGTGGAAGAAATTGTAACAAAAAATGGAGCAGTGCCAGCCACTGTAGGTATCTTAAGAGGTCAAATCCATGTAGGACTCACAGATGAGGAACTTGAGTTCTTGGCAAGCAGTAAAAACGTAACTAAAGCGTCTCGGAGAGATCTTCCTTTTGTCCTCAGCCAGGTATGGTTTGCAGACTTTCTGTTGTAGTGTTTTCTCTACAGCTATAGTGTAATGCTCCTCAGCTTCAAGCCAGGTGGCTCTTAAACTTCCTGAAAAGATCATGTAAAGTGGTATTTTACTGGCAAGCTCAAATGTGGTCCTATCTAGAATAAAAATACAACAAAGTATGGGAATTGCAGCCACAGGGTTAGTGAAAAGTCATTCTGGATTGGCTGGCAAGCCATGAGCACTGGGCTAAGAATATTATTGGCATGATAAGGCATCATCACGTTACATACAAGCTATGTGACATGCAGGCCATCACAAGCTTAAAGTGACATCTTAAGGTGACTAGCTGCCTATGAAGCCTTCTGGTTGGAAAGCCCTGGAAATCCCTGGTGACCAAAGGCCTTTGCAAGAGCAGCTTATGTAGCAGGGACCATGATTTTTCTGTGGTTTTGCCTAACAGAATATTTGTATCAGTATTTCACTTGTCAGCTGGTGACAGCAGGCTGTTGTGACATTGCTGTGTGTCAGACCACAACCACAGCTGCCCACATGTGGCATTCTCGATGTCACCCTGCATGCTGACTGTGACTTTGTCCCCTGACAGGGCTTATCCGGTGGCACTACTGTGTCTGGAACAATGATTGCCGCACACAAAGCAGGAATCTCTGTGTTTGTGACGGGTGGCATAGGAGGTGTCCATCGGGGAGGAGAGAACAGTAAGAAAATCAATACATTGTACTTTTCTCTTCTTTATTTCATTCCATCTTTTTCCATTTTCCCAGTTTGTCCCGCAGAAGAGTAAAGTTATCATTCTCCTTGACTATACTATGGTGTTTTTTTTCCCTGGTGTCTCCTTTCCAGAAGCTTCAAAATACTCCTCTTGAGCACTGGCCAGTTGTTAAGAGGCTGTGAGTTTATCTTTTGCTTACATGGGGTTATATGGATATTGTTTGCTGGTGCAACAGGAGCTGGCTGTACCTTTCCCACTTTGTGATGGCTGGATAACCTGATAGGGGCTTGGAGGACAGTGTTGTTACCGACTCCCTCTCAGCTGAGGAGGCAGAGAGTGTATACACAGAAGAGGCTTAGGCCCTGTGTCTGTGCATGTTCCTCTCTGGAAAATGGCCGAGCCTTGGCAGTGTAGCTTGTGACCTTTAAGTACGTTCTGTCTTCTTAGCTGTATATATTCCTAGCACAGCATAACTGCATTGCTCTGCTGGATGCCATCCCTTTCAGATGTAAATTCCAGACCAGGGAATTTCCTGAGGTCAGCAAAGCTCCTGTGGCTTTTTTTTTTTTTTTGCCACTGATGTCAAAACCAAAATCAAAATCTACTTAAATTATATTCCATCTCCCTGAACTTTGCCCTTGCTGTATAACACCTTTTTCTTTCTTTTCTACAAAATTTTTACATGCTGTTTATCGATGTGATCAAAGAGCAGAGAGATACAGTACATGGCTGTACCTCTGCCCTAAGCTATGTGATTTTTTTTGGTCAATATCTCTTTCTATCTCAACACTTAAAGGCATGATCTAAACCTGTAATATTTGTTTCTGGATCTAAGTGGTTACAAAAGCAGGAAGTGGCATCCCAGGCAGAGACAGCTTTTTAAGAGGGTAGATCACATCTACTTGGAATACAACACAGTCACCGACACAATGTCTGCTTGTCCCTTGACAGGTCTGGATGTGAGTGCTGACTTGACAGAGTTAGGACGAACTCCGGTTGCTGTTGTATCTGCAGGAGTCAAATCTATCCTTGATATTGGCAGGACACTGGAATATCTGGTAGGTAGCATGGGCTGCTGAGCCTGAAAGCAGGGAATGCGCTTTGTGTCCAGAATGCCCAGTGGTGCTGGGGTATTAAACGTAAGATTTCTAGAAATGACTACTGAGAGGATGTGAAGCCATATTTACTGTTCTCTAGTTCTGGGGCTATACAAGCTCTGGGCTGCTCCCTAACGTAAATTTAACCATGTCCAAGGGGCTGTTCCAGCACCTGTTCCAATTGACGCCAAAACCAGTGCTAGCCATGCTGTCTTTCTCTGGCTTTGGACTTGATTTTCTGGGACAATACTCCAGAATTGGTGCATCAGGCAAGCTATATCCATCAAATGCTAAAATAGAATTAAAATGGGAATCAAATGATTTTCAGTAGAGTCCCTTTTTAAGGTTTGGGAACCACCAGGGCCAGTGCTTCAGGTGACCGCCAAGGTCAATATTTCTTAATCACAAACAAAACTCGTTTATATTCCTGTCAGCTCACAATATACCTTCAGATCACAAGTTGTTACCTTAAACTCGGTGTTGCCCTAATGACAGCTGCATGGCTTTTGATCAGCTCTGAGCACAAGCACAGGACATGCACATCTCCTGTGGAAGCCAAATTCTGTCTAACCAGTTACCATGTCTGGCTCTTTACTTCAAAAAGTGTTGGTGATATAACTGATTAGAGTGGGATGCATAAAATAACCAAACCCTGTACTAAAGAAAGACAGTTTCTAGGAAAAAGCCCCCTTCTTTTGGTGGACCCTCTCTCCCTCTGCTTATTACCTGATGGTCTTGCCTCCACTGCTGCAGGAGACACAGGGAGTTTGTGTGGCTGCCTTTGGAGAGTCAAGGGAGTTCCCAGCCTTCTTCTCACGCCAGAGTGGCTTCCAGGCACCATATCAGGTCCGGGATGAAGAGGAGGCAGCTCAACTCATTGGTGTGTTTCAGAAAGAAAAGGCCCATGTGGGGCCCTGGAAGAGCAGGACACAAAAACCACATTTGGATGAGGCACTTTTTTAAGACAAGAGCTTTTTTTTTTGGAGAAGAGTTTGTCCCAAAAACCAAGCCATCCCACCTCCCCCATTCCTGCTTTAGTGCTTTGTAAAGCAGCAGTGAAATTCAGTTTTTACAGCAAGTTTCTTACCTACCTGCAGCCACCTTGGCATGCTGAGACATGTTTTGTTCACACTGGTGAGGTAAAGGGAACATATATATTCATGTGTTTACAAAAACAGTTTCTGAGCCTTCAGAAGTGGAGTCAGTTTTCTTTAGAAAAACAAATTATTTGCCCCTTTATTGTACAGACTCAAAAGAAATAGGCAGATGTTAACTGTTTGGTAGCTGGAAAAGACCAGACCCTGTCTTTGGATCAGCTAAGAATAGGAGCTTCAGCTCTATGGGTTCCTTCACTCTGCACCCACTCTTTGTCATTTTCCTTCAGCATTTGGTTTACTCAAGGAGAACCACTAATGATGTGCCTGTCCTCTCCCAGCCAGTGCTCTGGGGCTGGGCATGAGCAGCGGGGTGCTGATAGCAGTGCCCTGTCCCAAGGAGCGAGCTGCCTCAGGCCAAGTCATCGAAGAAGCCATCCAACAAGCTCTCAGCGAAGCCAGGTGAGAACCCACCTAAGCCCTAGCCTTTGCTCACCTGGGTCCTGGGGAAGTAGACAACTTCAGGGACACTGCTACAGGGGCTGTAGCACAGTCTAACCTTGGGCACGGGTGAGCCCACAGCATGCTTTCAACTGTAATTTTATCTAACCTGAAGCACATTTGCAGGACTTTTTACAGTATGTGGTTATGGAGATAAATTATCTGCTAGAAGCAGTGCTTTTCCTTGGATGTTGTTTCAGCTCAGTCCTTCTCATCTGTAGGCATTTTCTTTACATCTGCAGGTCCAAAGGGATCACAGGCAAAGAACTGACCCCTTTTATGTTACGGAGGGTCAGTGATTTAACTGATGGGAAATCACTGGACTCCAGTATCCTTTTAGTGAATGGGAGGGGGGAAGTACTCCAGTGTACTGTCTCTTCTGACAATGCTTGGTGAAAATGCTATCACTTTATTGGCAGTCTAGCAAGGATAAAACACTTCAGTATCTGCAAGCAGATGAAAGCTTAGTGATTGCATCTTCCTTTTTCAGGAGCACCATTACTGTCCTCATCCACTTTTGCATTAAAAATTGGAGGGCAGCACAGACAGCAGGTGGTCCAGAGTCCAAATTGATCCCTCACATCTGATTCCTGAGCTTGCCTGTCCTGTGATGGAGTCTCAGGACACTGTTGTCCGTGGTGGGGTTGCACAGTGGAAGGTACCTGGGCTTCCCAGAGCACTGCACTGTACATCCCGCTGCCTTATCCAGCTCATCATGCAGGCACACAGTATCACAGTATCACAGTATGTTAGAGATTGGAAGGGACCTCAAAAGATCATCTAGTCCGATCCCCCTGCCGGAGCAGGAACACCTAGATAAGGTTACACAGGAACGTGTCCAGGTGGGTTTTGAATGCCTCCAGAGAAGGAGACTCCACAACCTCCCTGGGCAGCCTGTTCCAGTGTTCCGTCACCCTCACTAAGAAGAAGTTTCTTCTCAAGTTTAAGTGGAACCTCTTGTGTTCCAGTTTGCACCCATTGCCCCTTGTCCTATCATTGTTTGCCACTGAGAAGAGCCTGGCTCCATCCTCGTGACACTCCCCCTTTATATATTTATATGCACTAATAAGGTCACCCCTCAATCTCCTCTTCTCCAAACTATAGAGACCCAGAAGTAAGAGAAACTTGTAAGGGAAACACCTATGGGTGTTAAAATTCAGGGTGTTCATGCAGTATGGTAACCTAGTATTTGCCCCCCCAAAGGGTGTAGGGGGTTGTAGGGGGTTCAAATCTATCAAGTCTCACAGCACATATTTTCTGCATTCTCCTCTAAACAGTTCCTACATAGGCTTCTAACAGGTCAGTCTTCCTGGTATTTTTGCTTTTCCTCAAAGAAATGCCAAACAGACCTTGCCTTGATCCAGAACAATGCCAGAGTGGGCAGTGGCATTGCGGTGGCTCTGAGCAAACTGCAGAAAGCCAGGAGGAAGGGGAACCTGCCTCGGCGAGAGGACACAACCCCACCCCGGCCAGTGAGTTGTCTGCCTTTCGTATAATGCCTCTGCTGTCAGCACAGGACACATTTATATCGGTTTACAAAAGCCAATCTTAAGAGATGTATCATAATCTAGTATTTCTTATTTGTCTTAGATAAATATCCTTTCTTCTCCCCCACCCCCCATCCATATTTACAGGGAATGAACACTGACAGTGGCCTAATCCCATTAAGTCTTAGACCATCAAATCCATTAAAACTTTAATCACCTTTTACTGTGCCCTTATGTACAACTTCAGCTGTATTGCTCTATGCCAGGGAACCCGAGACTACAGGAGTAGACCTGGAATAGGGTAGAGGGAGATATTTTGAGCTGTTGAGCCATACGTGTTTTATAAATATCTCCTTTTTGTTGGCCTCCTGCTCATAACTGCAAAAATTACAAAGGTACAGCATATCCTGAACAAGATCCATTATAATCCCAATACTCTATTCACTCTCCTGGATTTTTTGTGTGCCACATAATTTATGGGAAATCTATTTTAGGTAGTCTTCAGAGTGATGGAAAATTTTCTGAACCCCATTTGCAGTAAAATTTGTCGACATAAAAGAGGGCAGTGACTCCAGAGACAATAACCCAGCATCTGATGGAATGATAAAAAAACCCTGTATGTCCCAAAAGAACCTGGAAACTTCCTCTTTGTGGAGCTGTATTGCTTTTTCTGGCTTTGTAGGACACTGAGAGAGTGCTCCATAAAGTGTCACTGGGTGTGGAAATTTCTCCTGGGAGCTTGCAAGAAATGACTGCATTTTTCTGTGACTTTTTCCCCATTTTCTTGTCTTTCTTACACAACAATGCTTGAATGTTTCCGAGGTTTTGTATGTCAGAAATTGTCCCAAGAGAAATGGCTTCAAGGGCATTGACGTGACCAGACCCATGCAATGCCTTACATTACTTTATCACCACACAGAGAAAGTGCCAGCACCCATACATGTACACAGTAACATCCCACCTGCCATGCTGAGGCTTGCTATGAGCAGGAATAAGTCAGAAAGTAACATATAGAAGAGATTTCCATTCTTCCTAATTTGTACAGACTTGTGTCTAGCCATCCAAAATAAGCACACTGAAAATTAACCAGCTCTCAAGAGGGTGGGAAAAGTGACTAGGAAAAGCAAAGAAGACTTGGAAGCTTTCTCTTCAAGTCCATCTGACCACTTTTTACCTTTTTTCTCTCCTGAAGGTGGTGATTGGAGGTATCAACGTCGACTTTATAGCCAAGGCACAGAACCCTGTCATCCTGGTACTGTATCTGTAGCAGTTTCCTTAGCACCACTGCCATTTCCAGCTATTTTTACAGGAGAGCCAAGCCAAAGTTGGGGTGGGGAAGTTGGGGTGGGGAGGAAGGCAGCATCCACCCACAATATCTTTATCGTACCCACATGTCTTTATCCATACACATGCACAAACCGGGGAGGTGTAGTGCTGCATATTTAATGTGTTGTTTAGGTGAGCAATGGAATGACACATACTGACCTATTCTGTTCCCATGCTAAAAGTCATTATCTCTACCACTCCAGACAAGGAGGGAGCAATGGGTCACCCTGATAATCTCCACATATGACTCTGGCCTCTACAGACTAGGTTAAGGTGCCCTGGGAATATTCCCTGATTCCAAAAGCCCAAAGAGCTCTTTTAGCAGAAGAGCTGCCATGGACATTCTAGAAGCACATATGCAAAGAGATAGAAGCAGCAGGTGAAGGCCTTCACTGTGTTGTGACAGCTCTAATTCAAGAGCTGTCACACAATAGAGGGGAAATCTCAAAGTAAGAGCCAGCTCTGGCTGCCTGGAACTGTCTTTGCTGTGGAAAGGCAGCACGAATAGGAAGCAAGAATCTCCATGCAGAATGTGCACAGTGGTAAGAAACCTCTCAGAGAAGTAGTACTGACACGGTTACAGCAAACCAGAAAACCAACTTCCTCAGTCATAAAGGGTTTAAGTCACACACAGAGAAAAAAAATGCAAAACAAAGAGAGAACATTTTAAATATTACCAGACCCTCCCCCTTTCAGTTTGGTTTGACCACAAAACAACCAAGAATCTGAAGTGGAACAGACCTGGGACTTCCCCATGCAAATGACAGCTATTTGCATGGCCTATACAATTTTTGTTGAGCTATATGAAGTACTATAGATGGAGGTGTTGAAGCTTGCTCAACAGTTGTTTTGTGTCTCAAATTACTCCATGCTGTCCTTCCTATTCAAGGACAGGAAACTCCTGCTGTCAGATGGGGCAGCCTGCAAAGACCCCACAGTCAGATAGGGAAAGTTGTGCTGGAGAAGCTGTCCTTACAGAAGTTGGCTATTCAGTGATACAGAGGCAGAGACCAAACAGTAATATAATGGTCAAGGGTGACAATTGCTGTGGTATCAGCTATGAAGGCTTGCAAAACTGAAAGTTCAACTGCTTCAGTGGTGATCTAACCGATAACATCCATATCCCACACTCAGCTGTCAGATAAGCTGTGTCCCAGGGAGGGCAGCTACTCCCTGGTGTGTCAAACGGGAGTGCAGATCTCTGGACCACCCATGGCACAGTGAGGAGCCAAGGGCAGCTATAGGCACTGCTGGGAACAGCTGATGGAGGGAAAGGAAGAAGGAGATATTAATGGTGCGTGAAAAAATGAGGCATTAGCTGCCCTTCTGTATAACAGCAAGCCTTAAAGTTGTGCCATTGTGGCAACTGCTCAAATGCCAAACTACAGGAGGATTTGGGAATTGACAACTGTAACACTGCTGCTGACAGCTGCTGTGGTTAGGCACAGAGGAAAAGGCACTCTCAACAGCATTGCTTTGTTTTGGTTTCAAAAGACAGATCTTTTCCAAAGGGCTTAGCACGCAGCAGCTCCCACCCTTATGTGTTCTGGATTTGTTGCAGATCACTGGAGTACCACTCACACCTCGTGCTGTCTCCGCAGGAAAGCTGCTATATTATGTCCTGGTTGTAATTCCCACATGGCTTTCAAGGATATCCAGATGCAAAGTGCTTTATAAGTAACTATCTGACCTGCAGAGACTGATGTGTGGTTTTGCTGAGAAGAGGTGCTAGAAGCAGCATAATGATTATAACTCCCTCGGGATACCCAGAAGTTGAGCAGAGTCTCATTTTTGCATTAGGAATTCAAACCTTTTAGGACATGGAAGAAGATCCCAGAGACTAAAGTCTGAAACACTTCCAGAAAGTGTCAGCCCAGTCTTACTGCAAATCACCACAGCAATGCCATTTGCATCTTTCACCCCAGCCAGCCCCACCTGAAGACTACATAGAACAGATACCTGAGCTCAGACTTGAAGTTACTGGCTGAGCTGGTGAGGTACAATGAGAGCCAGCCATTTTTATTTCAAAAGCAGGCTGCTAGTTTCTGTCCCATTGCACCCATCTGCTGCTTTAAAGTGAGATCTAGCATCTTCATGTTTTTCAGGCCCTGTGGGATTTTATAGCAGCAGAGGTCACCCATGCTGTTAGGGCAAGCCTTGGTGTAAAAATCTGAAACTCTGCCTCTGGGTTGTGCAGGGGACTAACTGAGAAGCTCAGCAGCCAGACAACAAAAGCAGCTCGTGAGTGTTTTCAACATTCCTGCAGGAATCAGTTTTGAAAAACAGATAGTGGAACCACATAAAATAGAGTTTGTGCTCATTAATGATGGTGGTTAGTACCCTCTTTTAATATTGAAATAGGGGCCAGTGATCAAAGCCATGTTGTTTGACTTGCCTAAACAAGCATCCTTGCTTTTTACTTTGGAGTGGGTTTCTTTTATTTTGCTCTTGGCTGCTTCAGAGTTATAATAGCCAAGCTCAATGCTTTCAAAATCTGCAGCACTCAACGGAAGACAGTTGCAGATGGATATAGCTTCATTCCTGGCAGTACCAGTGGCAATTCTCAGGGAGCATGAGCAAAGGTAACAGAGGCTCATTTGGCTTAACAAGGAGTGACAAGTAGTGGAAAGATGGACAGAAGCCATAGGTTGCTTATATACAGCCAGTTCTGCTCAGGTGGTCTGAGCAGGTCAGGGCTTGGAGAACTGCCAGACAGAGAAACAAAGGCATCAAAGAATTAACACCAAGTCTTGCAGGCTACAGAACTGGGGAGAGTCAAGGCAAGCAAAAGCAGCCTGGAGGTCAGAAGGGAGTGATAAAAGAGAATATTTAGATTGGAGAGCAGCCTCTTACAGTCGTAGGGCTGGATGCAGAAAAAAGCATTCTGTGCAAAGGACAAATGTGCAGCTTCACACTGGGGAAGAAGGGTCCTTGGAGAGCTTCAGTCTGGGTTTTGAGAAGGCCCAAGAATAGCAACAGGTTGGAGGCAGAATACTTCTTACATTGAGATGGCAATACATTTACTTGTTTTGTGTTTGCTGTTAAGTGGTGTTTACAAGTAAGAACAGTGTGTATGTGCAGGGCTATTTTGGTGCACCTGGGGTAATAAGGGGTGGTGAAAGTCTGGGCCAGGAGCTGCTGTGTATGGGCATGCACACACTTCAGTGCTTGCCACCCAGATGCTCAGCATACACTTGAGAGCTCCGAGTTACGCAGAACTGTGAAAATCATTATGACCACCAGTGGCAACCTGTCTTCAGAAATGGAAAGCATGTTTCAGGATTTGATGAAACAAAAGCTTTTAAGCCATTTGATAATCCAAATAAAGCCCAAGTTGATTTGAGCACCTACTGATGTAATTCTAATGGCAGAACATTTAGAAGAAGGGGGAGATGGGAGAGGGATTCTGACAACTTGGATGTGACAGTCTGACAGATGGGCTGGGGAGTGGAAGGCAGAGGCAAGTGAAAAGACAACTTCATAACCACACAGGTAGAGAAGAGCACTTTTCATAAGGGAGGTTATTTGGGAGGAGACGGGTGAGTTAAAAAGTATTCAGACACCGAAACAGGTCCTTCCATGAGTAAAGTACAGAGACAGTACAAGTGAAGGTAACAAATCTGATTTTCATAGTATGGTTTGGGTCGGAAGCAACCTTAAAGCTCATCCAGTTCCAACCCCTTGCCATGGACAGAGACACCTTCTGCTAGACCAGGTTGCTCCAAGCCCTATCCAACCTGGCCTTGAACACTGCCAGGGATGGGGCAGCCACAGCTTGTCTGGGCAACCTGTGCCAGGGCCTCACCACACTCATAGTGAAGAATTTCTTCCTTATGTCTAATCTAAATCTACCCTCTATCATTTCCCAAAGAGAAAAATAAATAAGAAATCAACCCCCAAATTGCTTAAGCAGGCAGCTAAATGGCCTGAAGGCAGCGGCAGAGCCACTCAGGTGTGGGTCAGCAGCTCTGGACTGAAATAGACTGAAATAGCAATGCATGGGGAGAGCTGCTTGATCTCCCCTCCTAGGAAGCAGGCCTTTGACATCAAGGTTGAAGTCTAGATAGCTGTAGATGTTTATATTGCCCTCAATCTGGTATCTAGATGCCTTCTTCTCCCTTTAATTGCTGACCTACGTTTCAGTAACATCAACTTGACTTCATATGTTGAAGGAGACACAGCATCCATGCCAAGCAGCCCTCCAGTTTTGCCAATTAACAATTTGTTCTTCCAGGGTGGTGGGCAAACAAATGCTGGAAGAGTGAGACGAACCTTTGGCGGCGTTGGAAGAAACTTGGCAGGTGCCTCATGCTTGGGTTTGCTTGTGGGTGCATGCCAGCTGTGATTTGTCCTTTGGTATTCCTTCAGCAGCAGGAGCTCTTGAATGCTGTTAAGATCTGGGACATGTTAGGCAATATACCAGCAGGCAGACTGCCTGGAAATGGCAGGGGCCATTCCAAGAAGTAAGAGGGAAGGGAGTTAGGATCAGGAAAAGAAAGGTCCACAAATATGAAGTTAAGTAGCATGTAGCACAGTGACCCCAAATTAAAGTTAAGTAAGCATCAATGATCTCCGGTGAACAGTCTGGCCCTTGGCGTTGAATTAATGCCAGATTATAGTTGTAATAAGAGCAGGTTTTGAGCAAGAATTTCAGAGGAATAAGCTTATTCAGAGATGACCATCAATGCACACCTTCTTGTTTTTTCCTCCTACATGTTCCAAAATATCCAGAGGATTCAGAGTGCTGGTGCAACAGGCAGACACAGATCACTCCACTCAACCCCATCCAACCATTTACAGCAGCTGTGGCTGAGTTTCATCTTGAATGTCCTTTAGACAGGGATTGGTGGGCATAAAGTTTTCCAGAGAGGGCTTTCTTAACCTGCACAGGCTGTCACTGTGTGCATAATACTCTGATGGATTTACTAATGTCTCCTGTTTCTACTTGCCTTTTAGACTGCTTAAGCCGTCTTGGACAGACTCCTCTCTTTTTATCAGCTGTGGGGAAGGACGAGCATTCAGAATCTGTCCTGCACTACTGTCACCATATGGTATGTTGCACAGTAGCAGCACATCAGGAGCATGGAGGTGATGAAGTTGCATAGAGGAAAAAGTCTTCTCAACCCTGGCAAACATAAAAGCCATTTCCCACCAGGCTAAGAGTAGAAATAATTCAATGCTCCTTTAGTTACAGAAAGCTAGAAGGCATGGAGCCAACCCCCAAAACACAGGCCAAGTGTATATACCATTTGGAATCTGAACCATGGGGACTGAATTCAGCTCTAAGGAGTGATGCTTGAAGGAGAAAGTGAGGTAAATCAGGAGGAACCATGAAAAACTCTAGTAAGGCATAAGCACAACTAGAACCATGTAAGCCCTGACCCTGAAGACAGACAAAGCAATGCCAAAATTGGCCTTGGTTGAATAAAGTATATGACAGAGAATAACTGGAACTGGGAATTCAGCTGGACACCTTAAAGCTTTCGAAGAGTACGGTCCCCTACATAGCTGCCTACACCCCTCACTGTGCACCAGAGGAAGACCTGACTTAAGCAGCAACTTGTCCACTGAGATTAGGGACCCAGGAGCAGCAGGAGCTTATGGAGGGGGCAGCAAGGCAGAGCGGGGAAAGCCAGAAGAACAACCCTAACTCAAATCATCCCACACCTCCCTGATGTAGAGTCAGATTTGGATGTAGGTAGAGCCCTCAGGTGAAGCTGATCAGGGCCATTAAGGCAAATTAACGCACTCAGGTCTCTAATATCCAAATAGAGCACAGGGGTCCTTAGTTCTGGCTACCTGAGCAGTTGGGTAAATGAAATAGTAAGAACACAAACTCTTTGTTTATAAAGGCTTCATAGCAGCAGGTCTATAATCCCCCATCTACCCAGAATGGTTTGTGTCATCAAAGTGAGAGGTCTGCCAACAGAAGATGGACTTGCTGGGCAGCAGCCAAGCAATCCTTGTCTGTAACAAAGCATATTACTACCAGTGCTTCTCCTTAAAACCTCCAAATTCCCTGTGAGCTGCTGTGGCAGATGCATTGCTCTGTCCACATGTATATTCCAAGAAATGTCCTGAGTTCTCTAAGCAGATGATTCACAAGACCCCCACACCTCATAGGTATGTCTGTGACACTGCTGTAAAAATGGCTCCAAGGCTGCTCTCAACATTGGGCTGTGCAGTCTGGGAGGTGGCTGACATAACTGCTAGCTGGAGTGTGCCACCAAGACATGCCAGCATGTTGTCAGGCCATTGAAGTGTCACACAAGCTATGGGAATGGGTGGCTGGAGCAGGCAGGGCTGCAGACCATGACAGAGACACAGCCTACAGAACTGCACAAGAGAGACCTGTCACTCTCATTTACTAAATGATTTCTTGAATCAGGGGCATTTGTTGTACTGTAAATATTAAAAAATAGGCATCTGCCAGCATAGTCTAGAGCAGGATTCCTTTGTAATGTTACTTATTTCAAGGGAGAAGGGAGGTTGAATGCAGAACAGCAAGCTGGGCTACTGATCGGGTGGGCACAGAGAAAGGATGTGCCAAGTGTGGTAGCTGAGAGAAACACGCTCCTTGTGTAACTGTCCTCCCTGTTTTAGGACATGAGTGCCGTCCTTCAGCTGGAGGGGAAGAACACAGCCACTTACTGTGCTGTGATCACCAGTGCTGGGGAGCTCAGTGTCGGCTTGGGAGACATGGACATCCACCAACAGATAACAGAGCAATATGTATGCATACCATCAGATTTGTAAACTTTTTATTGGGAAAAGGAGTGTGGACCTGTGATGAAAAGCAACTGGGGAAGCTGTGCCAGGAGGGAGGGGGTGTGCAGAGGGGACGTGGGAAATCCTGATGTTAACCCCAGGCTTTGGACACTGAAATAGCAGCACGGCAAGCTACCAGAGGCCTCTGTTGTTGCTGAGCCAGTTGGAGCTTCTGGTTTTGCTCCATACAGTATCACCACTGCTATCATCCATGACATGTAGGTCAGAATCCTCTTCATTAATTAGTCCCAGCTAACCTGTAATTTTGGGGACCTTAAAGCCAGCAATAAATCCAGCCCACCTGCAGAGATGGTACTTCTCCCTTTAGGGAAAACCAAAACAAAGTGGACAGAACACCAGTTAAAGCAAGTTTTTCTGTTCCACCCCCTCTCTGCTATCCCTGTTGTTTCTGCATGCTGAGTTGTATCAACAGGCACTGCTCTCAGCACATCCAAACCTTCAAATTGTCGGGACTAATGAAAGCAGTGATTAAGCACTGATTCAGCAAAGCCCCATCAGTGCACCCTCCTTCCTTGCTCATTCTTTTACTAACAGAACAAAAGCCTGTGCTTCATGACTGACAGCGACATGGAAGTTAAGTGCAATTTACTTACCAGTGTCATCCCCATGAGGTGGAGACTTCCTAGAGAAAAATACGGTCATTGCTCCCACTTCCATCCGCACCCTGCCTCTCCCAAGTCTTGGCAAGGAAAACCATTACATGACAGATTATCTCTCCTGAGCTTTAAGAAACAGTTGTGGCCAGTGGAAACTCTGAGCCAATCTTCTGCTGCAAAGCGCATTCTGGCAGCCCTTCTGTAGCACTGGTTGCATTCAGGCAGCAAGCAAAGGCAAGCCAGGCAAAGCACAGGGTATTAAAGAGCAGCATTCCCTTTCCCTGTAGGTCTCTGACTAACCCACGGATACCAAAGTGGTCTACTACCTTTCCCTACTAGAAGGGCTGGGCCAGTTGAGTCCAGCTCTTGATGGCAGGGAGCAGGGGACGGAGAAGAAAGGAGGGAGATGAGGCAAACTGAAGACTCCATTTTCCTTAAGGAGTCACTCTTTTAGGTTTGCCTGCACCTAAGGGCTGCAATACGAGTGAAAATCCTACATCCTGAGTCTGACTAGCAATCATTTGTCCCTCTGCAATGACTCAAGCTGTCTCTGCTCTATGTCCTGGATTTTTCCTAGGTATCTCAGTTCAAGGAGAACCTGTGCCAGGCCCCGCTAGTGTGCATCGATGGAAATGTGCCTCTTTCCACTATTCAGTATGTCTGCCAACTAGCTAGAGAGCATCAGATAGCAGGTAAGGAGAACTTACCCAGCCCTGGCCCTGTAGCTCCTAACCTTGTGCCAAGACACTCTGCACACCCTGAGTGCTCTCCACTGCTGCTTGCTGGAGATACCCAGTTACTGTCTGACATGCTGTGTCATTCAGCACTCCTTTCTGTACTCTGCTACTCTTTTTCAAATGGATGGAATATTTCTGTGTTCTTTGACCTTTTCCTCATTCTGCAGCTAAATCACATTCCCTGTGGTGTAGGTGCTATAGCCTGTGGGCACTGCCAGAAAGCCACAGAAAGCTGCTTTCTTTGCCTTCAACCTCAAGGGAAGTGCAAATGTATGTGCTTCTGCCAGTTCGAGCAGCAATATAGTTTGCTTTTCGTAAGTGCTAAAGCATCTTTTGACAGGATTTCTCTCCCACTTCCCATGAAATGCACACCATCACCACCCCCAGTATGCTGGGGACCTTTCACAAAGCTTCCTAAACCTTTGGAGTCATGCCTTCATTTTCAAAAGCAAATCCCAAAGGAGACAGTGTTCTTAAAACCTGGCAGAGGCTCCAAAACCAGCTAAAAGGAGAAACAAAACTGAAGTCTGATTGTATCATTCCAGAGCCAGAAGCAACTGTCTCATTGCTGAGCACTGGAATGGAAGCCTTGGGAGACCTTATCCCAAACATGGGAGAGATAGTATTTAAGTTTCTAACAGATTACATGCATACCTCACATTGTGCAGGTCATGCTAAGCCTTATACACTGCATCCTGCTCTGACATGGAGATGAATGACTAATTCATGAACTAACCCATTGCAATGTTGTTTTGAAGTGTGCTATGAACCAACAGATGAGAACAAGGCCTCTAAGCCATTCCTCTCAGACAGCTGGAAAGCGCTTACATACATTTCCCCCAACCTGCAAGAGCTAAGAGCAATAAATCGGACCCTCGGGAACCCTCTGCCAGCAGGTATTGAATACTCAGAAGAGCCAGTCACACACTTCTAGATAACCTACATCCTGGAGAAGAACATTTGCTGCTCCAGTCCCTGTTTCAAGCAAGCTGGGTTATAACACAGTGGGGATTCTTAAACACTCTTGCCGTCTTCCACCTTAAAGTCATCTCTGCATGGGTTGTATGGCCCAGGCCAGACTGATGATCTGTCAGAGAGCACAGTAGGCCTGGGATGGCTTCTTGTCCGAAACCAGAGATCCTGTTTGCCTCACTTCATCAGCCGAACTGGAGCAATCTCTCAGTATCACCCTTGCAGAAATGAAATGCCCCACCACATGCAGGTGTAAATCCAACAGCATTAAGGCAATGAAGTCATACTTCAGAACAGATTTTTGATCTCTACAGACACATATTTAGTCCCATACGGGGTAGTTTCCTCAGCGTTCGATAGAGGTATGGAAGTCTAATGTTGGAGAATTCCATGTTTCATATGATTTAAAGAAAAAAAAAACCCACATATCAGAAGTGCTCATAAATAGTAGCAGTGGTCCTCAGAAATAGGCTGCCAGCCCATAAAAGGCCAGTTGAGGACCTTTACAGTTATAGCACAGCCTTTTCTCCCCACTCTATCAAGAGCTGCCATCCAGGTTGGAGGATGTTGTCCAGACCGCAGTGGCCTTGGCCTGCCCTTTGCTGTCGCATCTGCACTGTGTGGTGGTAACCCTCGGCGCTCTCGGCATCCTCCTGTGTGGCAAGAGCCTGGGAGGAAGCATATCACTTCGTCCAGGACCTCATGAACAGGTAAAGGCATGGGAAACTAACTCTGAGATCTCAGTTGCTTCTTTCTCAGACCATAAAGCATTGCTATTTCTGGTGGCGTGGCAGCAGTCCTGGGAAACGTATGTGTTTGGTAGGTGGAATACACAGCTCTGAAAGTAAATCAAGTTGTCTGTCCATAAACTGCTGGCTCCTAGCAGCAGTGTTTCTAGTCAGCTAGCTTCAAATGTGCTTGCATGAATATTCATGAGTGAGGCTTCACTTTCAGGAAGCTCTATTTAAATTGCTGATAGCTTTCAAAGTGTGAAAAAACATTATTGCCTTTTTCTTCTCTCTTTTTCTTTTTGGCATCTGAGCAGGTCTGGATGGCATAAACCACATGAGGACACACCAACTTGGGCAATTCCCACTAACTTCCCTTCTCTCCCTTCTCTCCGGGCACAGGCTGCTGCTGCCAGCCTCTGTGCCACCCACTTCCCAGCCGTCCACATCAGCAGGGAGGAGATAGTCAATGTCTCAGGAGCCGGTGACAGGTATATTGCTCACTATTTTGTCTTCTCCAGCTAAATGTAGGAGGGCCATAATTGGATTTCTTTGACATTCTACTGCAAAGGTGAACGATATTCTGCTGCTTGAGAAGCAGACGCTAAGGACACAAGAAAAGTGCTGGTTACCATGATTACTTGCAAAGCTGGCTAAAAATGTCTCCCTGAGCATCTTGGAAGCCAGTCTTGCCATTCTTAGCTTTGTTTTTCTTTAAGATCCAAGCTTTTCATGGCAATCTAGTAGTCCCGAGTTAGCCTGGGCTGAGCTGCTGAAAGCAAAGTAAACCACCTTACATCAAAGCTGTCTTTCTAACTAACTACTTTACTTCCACACTTCTCCAATGGAAGTGATACTGCCACTCAGTAGCTAAAATCACACTATAAGAGCATTTCATCAGGTTCTGCACTTGCCTCTGGCAATAGCTCATGCTTCAAGAGAGTCTGCTGCGTAATATGCCTAGCTGTTCACACAACACTGTACATAGGAGTAGGAAATGACAGGTATTATTCTTAGCCCCACTAATCAGTTCTCAATCTGTCAGAGTAATAATTTATTATGCTCCTTGTTAACTTGTCAAACTATATGTAGTAGTCAGTTTTTTCTTCTTGCCTTGTACACTACAATAATTTATTCTACCCTCCCATTGCCTTGGGCTAGACCAAAAGGCTGTATGTGACAGATATTTCATTTTTCTACTCTTACCAACCACTATCTCAGCATAGCAACAGTTCTTTTTGTCTTTTGTGAGTGGGCAGCATGAAATGTCTTTTTTCTTTTAAACTTACAGCATCCTCAATATTTGAGTTAGGCTCAATTAGTACCTTCTTGCCAAGCTAGGTAACACCAGGACACACTCCTCGTGCCCCAGATCACCTCTGAGTTGACTGCAACTGCAAGCTGGTCTTCTCCAAAGAAGACCTAAGTGTTGTTTGGAGCAGTAAGTGTAATGGCAGAGGAATGGGGGCTGGGAGGAACCTCACGGGTCCCTGAGCCTGTCCTAAGGATGGCTCAGCTTTCCTCACTACTTGTAGGAGATGTGCCCAACCTCTGTCAGCCTCTCCAGGGACACACCCTCCTCTTTGCATCATCTGCTTGGTCCACAACTACCCCTGACCACAGTCAATCTTTTCTGGAGGCTAATGTAAGCTAAACATCTTCTTTAGGGTTTCCTTTCCTTTTAAAGGCTTAACTTAAGGAAAGGCCGAAGATGAGATAAGGTGCATCACTGCCAGACACCTCCACTGAGTTACACTGGAGTGTCATAGAATCACAGACTAGTTTGGGTTGGAAAGGGCCTTAGAAGATCATCTGGCCAACATCCCTGCAATAAGCAGGGACACCTTCAACTAGATCAGATTGCCCAGAATCACATCTTGAATGTCCTTAACTTTGGTTTTCCTTCCAAAGCTATCTGGAAGCTAGGGGCCCATTACTGCTCCCATTCCTGAAGTAATATTGGTCTGCAAATCACATTCCTCAGAGTCCCCAGGTTTACGTAGAAATGTTTGTAGTCCTCTCATTTGTCCAGGGTTTTCCTTCCTGGTAATCCTGGCTGGAAATGCCAGGACACCACACTGACATATGTAAGTGGTGAAGTCCCCCAAGCACAGCCTGTTAGCACTTCAAACGGCTTACCAGCAGGGCATAACCCAGGGCTGTAACACATTCACAGCTCAGCCCCCATGAACCCTCGGACTTCTGAAGTCGGGGGACACTGCACACCCAGAAGTAGTGATCCAGGACACCCCATGCTTCACTTCTAACTTGTGGCTCTCTAACAGCTCCAGAGATGCTGCCCAAGGATCCATGTGTGTGTACAGGCACCAGCGGCTGTTTGCTCCTTGCTCCTGGCTGCCGTGACAACATAACACCACATGCCTGCACATGGCATTGCTAGGGGATGCTCCCCCAAATATTTACTCTCAGCTTCTGGGGCTGTTGAGAGATTGAATGACTTATGGAAGTCATAATTTTCTGTGCCTTTGTTATGGATAAAAAGATGTTGAGGTAATTAGTCAGAGCACAAAAAAGAGTGATCTTTTTCCCTTCCCCATAGATTTTCTCCTCCATGCCGTCATATTTTCCTGTCCTTGCTTTTTTCTCTCAAATGTCATTATCTTCTCCCTTCTCATTCACGTCTCCTTTGTCTTTTCCTAGTTTCCAAGCATCATTACTGTATTTAGCTATGAATAAAGAGTAGTTGCTCCCAGTCGATGACAAACACTGCCCTGCATGTATCCATGCCTCAACAGAGCCTTTCCCTTCAGCCAGGCAGATGGCAAAGTCATCCCCTCCTCTTGATGGCCTCCACTGTGCCTTGTGAGGGCCTGTGGATGACTGCTTTTGTTCCAAGCACTCACATAATTTTTAATGGGAATAGAAAACCACAGTGAAAGTTTACAAACATGTGAATCTACAACCACATTTCAGCTTTGGATTTCTTTTTCCAGCTGTGTCTCTTGTCCATCTCACAGTGATATGGGAACTTTACTGCCCTTCCAAACCACCCTGTTGGGGACAGGAGGGAATGTAATATGGCACCAACAAAGAGCAGAGAAGTGACAAAGTAATTAGAGAGCAAAGGAAGATTAGATTTTTCCTTTCATTGACTCTTTTCTCCTGCCTCATCTGGAAAACTGGGGGAAATAATAGAAAATGTGGTGGAATGGGAAAGTACCTCAACTTCTCAGACGAGAAACAAATAAAATGGGAATAAATAGCACTATTTGTTACTCCAAATTGAAAAATAACTATAAAAAAGAAAAACCTTTACATTATAAACTCACCCCTCCTATGTGACATATTGTGCTGTGTTACATATTCTGTAAGTGTTGGTTTGAGTCCACATGAATGCTCTTACAAATGAATGCCTATGTTCCCAAAATCAAAGCTGTTCCCCCTGTGTTCAAAACCACCCTTCTTTCTCTCCACAGCTTAATGGCAGGGATTCTTGCAGGGATCCTTGCTAAACATGACACAGATACCTGTGTCCGGATGGGTCTACTTGCTGCAAGCTTGTCCCTCCGTTCCTATGAGCCTGTTTCCCCAGAAATCAGCACTTCCAGCGTCAGCCAGGAGCAAGTCATGAGCAGGAGCTGGCCAGAGGCAAAGGTATGGAAGATGGACCAGAGCACCATTGCTCTATGACCTATCAACTCCTTTCACTCCCAACACTGCTATTTCCAGGAACTGGGCTGTGTTCTGAGCTTTGAGCTCAAAAGCTAGCTGCTGACCAAAGGACTTAGACTTTCAGTACATGCTACTACAGGAGGTGAAGTGTCAGCAGAACGCATTTGGTGACAACCTGTATTACACTGTTCACATTTATGTTTGTCTGCAATTTGTTGTTCTTTCCTGTTTTCTTTTCTCTCTCTTTTTTGTTTTTATTTGGTGGGTTGCAGCAATCACAGCTTGGTTCTTCTACTGCCTGTCAATACTGTATCTCAACCCCCACCTAATGAGAACGCTCATCTGTTTCGGCCTTGAGGAAGGAGGCCCTAACCCAAGGAACTTCTTTGTAAACAAAAGCTGGTGTCTGGTCTTTTAGACCTCGTGCTTCCCTGAATCTCCAGTGGTAGAGTTTCCACAGAGGGAATTTTCCCTTCCTCCACCTGTGTCACTGTTGTCCATTATCACAGCAGCTCCTTTCTCACTAACTCCCAGATCTTCAGGACCATGTCTCTTCAGATGGGCCAAGCAGCAGCATCCTTTCTTCCTGCTTACTCTTGGTTTCTATCCCAGAAGTCCCATGGACCACAACCTGCAACAAGGAGCAGCTTGCAGGCACATGACACTGTGGGACAGCCTCATCAGTCTTCCCAAGACAGCCAGCAAATGCCACACTTTCTTGCTCTGAATTCCAATGCCCCTGGAGGAAGCAGGCAAGATAAATCAAAGAGGGGTAAACAGGGGCCAGCTGGTGGCCTTTGAAGTATGACTGCCCTTGTTCCACATCTTCCTCGGAACTTGGGACTTCCAGCCTCATCAGCCCAGAGAGTGAAGTTTAAAGTAAGAGAGCAAGCCCCTCTCACCACACCTCCATTCCTGACCACTTGGCAAACCACTGGCAACTTCAGAGGAGCCTCCCCATGCCTGGCTCTCCAGAGGCATGTGGTGCTAGACCACTGCATGCTGGAATCAAAACATTCAGTTACACCTTCCCTTCTGTTCAGAACAAGAAGTCTCCTGGTATCATCACAGAAGCTCTGGCTAAAGATACTGTTTCCAGGGAGGAGGGAAGCACAGCCCTTGCCTGCAGGTGAACATGCAAGCTGTGTAGCTCAAATGACTGCCAAGTTCACAGTGAGTCCATAGCAAAGACAAAGCTTCATTGACTCTGATCAGGCTGGAGCTGCACAGTTATTCCTCTGCCTAACCCCCTCCAGCCTCTTTATTGACAAAGACATCTACACTTAGATCAATTTCATACAAGCTAAGTCTGGTCCACAGCCTTTGAAAATCACCTAATGTAGCCAGCTTGGCAACGGAAATCAGCTTCTCTGATTTCCTCCTGTTGTGTACTCCCCTGTTGTGTAACTTACCTCCCAGAGGCACTTCTGCAAGTTATCTTCTATTCCCTGAGCAACTAAACTTGAGGGTGGGAAGACACCAGCTTGTGTTGGTGCCTGTGTTTTTTTTTTTGGTGTTGCTGGACCATTGGTGGCTGACAGGGGAGTGACAGGGGATGGCAGTGGGTGAGTGGCAGGAGACCTCTGTAGATCTCACAGGGATGCTTGCTGGCTCAAGGCTGCATTATCACATCAGAGATAAGGCCAGTGACCACGTGAATTCATCCCTGGTCCACAGGGGAACGCCCACTGTGTGATTACAAACACCATCCAAGAGAGATGCCAAATACTGGTAAGTACTGGGGAACAAGGGCATCTCCTGTGGAAACAGTGAGGAAAAGTCACTTCCTCCCTTCCAGCACATAACATACACAGGAGACAACTGCAGGTGCCAACAGTTAGGTGAACACAGAAACTCATTAAAACTAACTTCCAGGGGAGCTGAGTCTCAGTGCTGTGGCTGTTTATTGAACCTGATCCATAGTAAGCCTGGAGTAGGCTCACTGTCCATTCCATACAGAGGCCGCCCATTGGTGAGGACTCTTGCCTGAGGAGCAGATCACTGGGATCTGACATGTCACAAGAGCCAACCAGAGCTTGGTCAAAGCAGCTCTAACACAATTCTCCTGGTGGGCTCTGCTGTTTAATATGCAGTGAGCTCCCACTGCAATGGATGGAGATGCTCTCTGGGTGTCTCTACCTAGACCACTTCCACCAGGCTCATAGCAGCTCCCTACCTCTAAACCTGCCATCAGATTTGGGCAAAACTGGGTGAAGAGCTGAGAAGGCATGAGTGATGGGCTGGAGAACTGACCAAGATGCATCACATCAACACTACCTCCTTAGGTAGCCAAAGTGAAAACGTAACATCTGCCTTGTCAGAGATTGAAGGGACCCATTCTGCTCTTGCACATCCCCCTTCTCCCTGCCAAGCACAAACACGTAACCAGCAGCAATCCCCCTTTACTAAGACCTGGCTCGTGAGTGTGGTTTAGCTGAAAGATCCTGTGCTCACAAGTGGGAGATACCACACGCCCATCACCAAGCAGGGACAGGGTGGGAGGGTGCTGCTTGGGAATGCAAGGGAGGGGGACGGGGCCCAAACAGCTGGGTTTGCTTGCAAGCGGGAGGTGGGAGACAGCAGGGGCGGAGGAAAAGGGCTGTGCCCCCGGGTTATGTACCTGTGTATAAAAATGGCTTTGGCTGGGTCCAGCAGCAGTGAAGTTTTCTTTCACCTCTTTACCTCTGCTCCTGCCTCCAGCAGCCTTGCCTGGGCAGGAAGATCCCAAGCATATCCAGGCTCTGAGAATGAATGTCAAGGTGCTGATGGTCACTGCACTCCTCTGGGTGTTGCTCTGCTCAGCCCCAGCTCCATCTGAGGCACTGAGGAGCTGGGCTGGCACCCTGAGGAAGCATTCAGGAGTAGGGGGCCCTGGAGAAGACCCTTGGTTACCTGGAGATGGAGGGGTCGACCTGCCTGGGCAGGGGTTGAACAGGAGCCGTCCTGCGGCTAGTGCATCGGAAGTGATGGGAGCCAGGACCCCCAGCAAGGCCATGGCCAGGCCCCCACTGAGCAGTGGTGAGCAAGATCCCCGCAGCAAGCCCCGGAGGTACTCACCACAGCCCTCCCGCAGCAGGAGGCTGAGCCATCACCTGAAAGGCCATGGGAAGTTCAACAGGGACACGGTAAGCACAACGCATCCTTGGCCAGCACGGATGAATGTTTGTTCGGGGGGGTTGCAGAGGAACCAGGAGTGAGGGAAGGCAAGAGCAGGGTCAGGCAGCTCACTGAGCCCTTTTGGCTGATCTGTCTGCAGGGCAGGAATGGGGTTGTGCATGTGACGTTAAGAGCACCACATGAAGAGAATGTGGCCATAGAAACAGGCCCTTCCTTCTGCTTTACAGCTCCACAGGTTCCTGCATGAACCTCTGTGTGGGATGTTGCTGGCCCTTGTTATAATGGAGCCAGAAACTCTGGCAGGTCTGAGCATCACAGAGAGGCTAAAACCAGGTGGGACAGCCCCAAAATGCAGGGAGAAGAGAGCATCTTCGAGGCACAGCCTGTGCCCTGGGCTCCTCAGTTGTACCACTCAAATGCTTGCAATTGTTTAGCCATGTACAAGGCTGGGATTTTGGCAGAGCAGAGCTGGGGTGGCACCTCTTCTCCAGGCAGAGCGTTGCTGCACCCACACTGTAACCCATGTACTGCCACCATGCACCCTCATGCTGGTATCTGCCTGAGCAGCTCAGCCAGCCCTGCAGCTTCCAAACCAGGTCCCCTGTGCACCCCCGAGCCCCAGCACCCTGCACAGAGACTTACTGTCCCCCAGGCCCTTCAGCAGCATGGGGCATGAAAGTCAGGCAGACCTGTGAGCAGCAGGAGCAGGTGCCCAGCATGCCACAACCCTGCAAATACCAGCTAGAAAAGCTGCTCTTGGGCTGCTCCTCACAAGCCAAGTGTGAAAGCGCTGGCCAGAACATGGCCTCAGCACTTGTGGCTTGTGGTGCAGACAGAGGAGATGGGCAGTGACAACTCTAAAACACCACTGGCACCCGGGAAGGCTTAAGGCAGAGCGGTGGCCGCAGCCAATAGAAGGTCAGGAGGCGAGTGTCAGTCTGGCTGCACTTGTCTTAACCAAGATGTGCTGGATGGTGCTGTGCTGGGTGATGCTCTGCCAGGGTGGATGGTACTGCAGCAAGAGGGCAGAGGCAGTGGCTGTGGGGACCAGCTGCTTAGTGTGCTTTCTGCCCAAAGCTTAATGAACTGCCTCAAAATTGCCTCCTTGGGCCCAAACTTCTCCCACTCCTTGCATGAAGCTGCTGCTCTACAGCCTGGTGAGCATCTTGTCCCAGTACTGTGTTTCCCTGCATCATTTTACTGTTTTAAATGGAAACCAAACATCCAGCAGCAAATGCCTGTCCCATAACTTCTATCTTCTGCAAGTTGGCTTTGCTTTCCAACTGGTAGCTTCTCCACCCTGCCAGTCTTTTGAGCTCATCTGAGTCTATTGAGGCTGTTTTGAGCTCATGTCACCACCAGGCATCACACTGGTGTTAGCTTGAGCATGTGTAGCATGATGCTGTCCTGCAGCTGAGCAGTTCATGTTGCCCGAAAATGACTGACTAATCAGCTGTGGGGCATGCACTCCCTGAAAGGAAGCCTACAAGATGCTGCTCTCAGGCAGCCCAAGCCTGTGCCTGGCGCAGGCTCCTTGGGGATGGGGTTCTCAACAGTGTGAGCACAGAGTGATGTGACTGGGGGAGGTGGACCTGGTCCAGGAGCTGGGAAATAGCTCTCCCTCCCTCTGCAGTACTCCTGCCACAGCATCCAGTCCCGGCCCTGCCAGAAGCCCTCTGACTGCAGCGGCTGCCTGGGGCTCTACACGTGCAAGCTGCCCTCTGGCACCTGTGACCTGAAAGGTGTCTCCAGGCAGAGAGGTAGGTTGTGAGACCCCCAGCCACTGGCACTGAAGACCCCCCCCAACAGCCAACTGCAAACACTGCCCTTCAGCTACACCTGTGCAAACCTAAATCAGACCTACCCTGTGCAGGGCAGGGGCTCGGCTGTTGACTGCACAGGGCTCACTCTCTGTCCTGCCTGCACTAGCCAACACTAGTGATGAATGAATAACTGTACGGTGAACAGGACATTCATAGAATCTTAGAATGGTTTGGGCTTGAAAGGACCTTAAAGACCATCTGGTTCCAACTCCCTGCCATGGGCAGAGACACCTGAACAAGCTCAACTCCTTTAGCCTGTCTCCATAGGAGAGGTGCTCCACCATCTTCACGGCCTCGCTCAAGCAGGTCCACATCCTTCTTATGGTGGAGTCGCCAAAGGTGGATGTAAGCTTCTGTAAGAGCTAGGATTTGCTCAGTGCCCTGAGCTCTCACAGGACAGAGACTGTGGGAGGCAAGGAGGGGTATGGGGCTAGGGGTTCAGCCAGGGGCTTGGGAGGCAGCTAGTGCAGCTCTCTGGGGCATCAAAGGCCCTACAGAGCTGCTCACATCAGCCTGTGCAAGTTGCTTAACTGAGGGAGCAGAGATTGTGACTTTTAATGTTTAACCTCTCAGACAAGTGTCTTGGTTCTTCAGTACCAGTCGATAAATCCATGCTGCCCCCGGACTGGCCTCTTGCCTTAGCACACTTAGAATCGTTGAATCAACTAGGTTAGAAAAGACCTGTAAGATCATTGAGGCCAACCGCCAGCCTAGGACTGTCAAGCTCACCGCTAAACCATGTCACTGAGGGCAAACTGGTCTTCCCTCAGGATCTCCAGTCACAACCACCCCACATCTGGCCCATCCTAGTGCCCCACACTATGTAGCTGCTGCCCCTACCCCTCATGGCCACCTCTTATCTCCCTTCAAAATGTCTCCTCACATCCACCCCTAAGAGCCCATGGCTGCCCCTCATGCCCCCTGCCTTCCCCTGCTCTCACAACATGATCTGCCCTCACAACCGCCCCACCTCCCACCTCATGATTTCACCTCATGGCCGCCACCCCATTTCCCTCACTATCTCCCATCATGGATGCCTCTGTTCTCCCCTCATGATTTCACCTCATGGCCGCCCTTCCTTTTCCCTACAATCTCCCCTCATGGCTGCCCCTGTTCTCCCCTTGTGGTCTCCCCTCATGGCTGTCCTTCCTTTTCCCTCACGATCACCCCTCACAGCTGCCCCTCCTTTTCCCTCACGATCACCCCTCATGGCTGCCCCTGTTCTCCCCTCATGATCTCCCCTCATGGCTGCCCCTGTTCTCCCCTCACAATCGCCCCTCATGGCTACCCCTGTTCTCCCCTCATGATCTCCCCTCATGGCTGCCCCTGCTCTCCCCTCACAATCGCCCCTCATGGATGCCCCTGTTCTCCCCTCATGATCTCCCCTCACAGCCATCCTTCCTTTTGCCTCACAATCTCCCCACATGGCTGCCACTGTTCTCCCCTCACGATTCCCCTCGTGGATGCTCCTGCTCTCCCCTCATAATTTCCCCTCATGGCTGCCCCTGTTCTTCCCTCACAATCTCCCCTAATGGCCACCCTTCCTTTTCCCTCACAATCTCCCTTCATGGCTGCCCCTGTTCTCCCCTCACAATCTCCCCTCATGGTCTCCTCTCATGGCTGCCCTTCCTTTTCCCTCATAATTTCCCCTCATGGCTGCCCCTGCTCTCCCCTCATAATCATAGAATCATAGAATAGTTAGGGTTGGAAAGGACCTTAAGATCACCAACTTCCCACCCCTCTGCTGTGGGCAGGGACACCTCACACTAAACCACATCACCCAAGGCTCTGTCCAACCTGGCCTTGACCACCACCAGGGATGAAGCATTCACAGCCTCCCTGGGCAACCTATTCCAGTCCCTCACTACCCTAACAGTAAAGAACTTCCTCCTTATATCCAATCTAAACTTCCCTTGTTTGAGTTTTAACCCGTTACCCCTTGTCCTATCACTACAGTCCCTAATGAAGAGTCCATCCCCAGCATCCCCAGCAATCTCGCCTTATGGCTGCCACTGTTCACCCCACATGATCTCCCATCATGGCTGCCCCTCCTTTTCCCTCACAATCTCCCCTCATGGCTGCCCCTGTTCTCCCCTTATGATCTCCCCTCATGGCCACCCTTCCTTTTCCCTCACAATCTTCCCTCATGGCTGCCCCTGCTCTCCCATCATGATCTCCTCTCAATGGCTGCCCCTGCTCTCTGCTCATAATCTCCCCTCATGGCCACCCCTTCATTTCCCTCATGATCTCCTCTCATGGCTGCCCCTGTTCTCCCCTCATGGTCTCCCCTTATGGCCGCCCCTCCTTTTCCCTAACAATCTCTCATCATGGCTGCCCCTTCGTTTCCCTCATGATGTCCTCTCATGGCTGCCCCTGCTCTCCCCTCATGGCTCCCCCTGCGCCCCCCTCACGATTACCTTGCACACTGCAAGAAAAGTGTAGCCCAGAAAAAGAACATGTCAGTTAACACTGACACTGCAGGGGGACCATTGGGTGCTAAGCAAAATGCAGTCTAGTTGCTGAAGGACAGCCAGAGCAGCACGTCTTCACATCACTGAAGTGTTTTATGTCCAAATAACACTGAGAGTTAAAGATCCCGGAGCACTGCAGACCCACTCCCAAAACCCAGCACTACCCTTGTGTATCGTGTGAAGGGTGCCAGAGCTTCTATGCAAGCAGAAGACAACAGGGCTCTGCCATTGCTCTGCGTGAACTACACTCACCAGTTCCCCACCAGGTACATTTACAGATGACAGCAATGGGAATGAATCTAGCCTGGAAGATGTTTCCACTTTCCATCCCTTCCGCTGAAGCTCTGTAATCCTCCCATGTGCACACTGTTATGGTAGAGAACCTTATCCAAGGTGACTAAACACACATACACCAGCCCAGGTGAAGAAAACCCCTCGTTGTGAGATGTAGAGTAGGCAAGCTTTGGGTATGTACTCTGTATACATGGTGTGTCCACCTATAGAGTATATAGGGCACACCCAGCATACATCCTCAGTTTGGAGCCTTCTCTGGCCATCTGCTGGCAGATGGCGTGGAGGCTGCTGGCAGCCTCCACAGGAGGGCACACGCACCCCTGGTGGGACCCAGCACAGCCGGACTTAACAGCTTGTCTTTACAGGTGGGTTCCTCCAAAGCATCCAGAGCCCTGAGGGACGCAGGGTCCTGCTCATCCCAGCACAACACAGCTCAACATAAAGCTGGAGAGGCTGTCCTGCAGCTGGAGACCAATGCTTTCTGCTAGAGTTTCATTTTAAATCCTTAATAACACAGCCCTAAATGTTTCTTTTGTTGCACTTCTCATGCTGCTGCTCTTTAAGACACTTCTTTGGATTTTGTACACTATGTAAGCATAATTCCTACTATCCTGAGAGCTGCCAATGAAAGCACCAAGCAACCACAGGGCTCAGTGCTGGCAGAGCCCCCCCATGAGACAAATGGGACTATTTCACAACCCTTTTTAACTTGAGCTGTTAAGGTATTGCAGCAAAAGCATCTCAGCATGTATCTCAGCATGCTCACAGAGGTCCAAGCTGAGCCTAGGAGCCTGTGAGCATCAGGCATCCCAGCTCTCTACCATGGCTCCTGCCAAGGAAGGTGAAGTGCCACGCTGTTGAAAATGTCACTTTGAGAAGAGGAATGTGGATCCCCCAGGAACAGGCTCAGCAGCAGGGTACCACATAGGAGACCTGCTTCTGGAGGCCTCAGGTGAGCCCCAGGATCAGCTCCATTTAGCACCCACAAAGCTTCGCAGGTATCCTAACCGCCTTTGCATGTGTGGGTGCATCTCAGCTTTGCAAAACCTCATTCTGCTACAATTAAAACCACTTTTTAAAAGACAACCAAACCACAGCATTTGATTCAGCCTGGACTTCACTGCAGCTTCCTCTGGTGGGCCACCATGGCCTCCTGTGACAAGCTAGACTTTAAGTAGTGCCAGTTTCGCCCAGCACAACTGAGAGGAGGCCTCCTGCATCCTCCACCTGGTTACCACACTGGGAGAAAGGGGGGATAAATGCTGCTGCCTTCTCTGACTCCCTCTGTTGTTGCTTCAGCTTCCTGCACATGGGCTGGGGAGCACATAGGTGCTGCCCACCTATGGCACTGCAGCTGAGCGGCATTTATGGTGCTCCCCACAGAACTACAGAGAGGTTGAGGTGGGAAGGGACCTCTGGGGCTCATCAGGGCCAATTCCCTGTTTAAGCAGGCCACCCAGAGCCACTTGCCTAACTTATCTGGTCCCCAGATAGTGGCACATATCACAGACATAACAAGCCCCATTACGCTGCAAGGCAACCAATTGCTGTCTGACCAAGTGCTCACCCCTCCATGCACCCAGTTTCCTGCTCTTGCCACCACCCATCACTACCTGTTTCCTCCATCTTAAAACACAGCACAAAGAGGCTGGTGCTGTAGAAAACTGGAAATGCAGGCTTCAAAGGATGCACAGAGCAGGCCTGGAGCCACAGCTTCACTCCATTACTGAGTGGAGGTAAGCTCCCCTGAACCCCATTGCTGGGCAACACAGCCCTCTTGCCTGGGAAAGCCCACTGCCCCCAGTGGCACATGGACCATTTCCAAGCCCTCTGGCGGCCCCTTGGGCACCTCACAGGTGCCCACAGCCAAGGTACCTGCACACATAACTGGGGAAGAGATTTCCCTTCAGGCCATAGCAGACTTACCCTCTGCCTTCCTCTCCGAAGAGCAGAGGAGACCAAAGGATGCTCCAGCTGCTCTTGACTGCCCTCACAAGCAGTGCAAGAGAAACAGCTTTTGTACCAGTTAGAAAAGAGCCCTCACCCCACCTTGACCTCCACATGCTTCCCCTAACACTTCTGACTGAAAAAGACAGAGGAGAGGTGAGAGGAGAGGTGAGCAGGAGGTCCGACCTCCTGCCCAACCAGAAGCACAGAAGGCAGCAGCAGGCACTCCCCCATTGCATGCTTCTTACCATGCTCCCTGACAGCAACACCTCAGTTGGGAAAGGAGAGCCCATCTGACCTTCAGGAACTCACCTCTGGGTGAGTTCCACTTTGGGCTCTCCCTGCAAGAGGCCAGGCAAGGAAATGAGGCCCATGGTCAAACAGAGGGCTTGGCCAAACCAAAGAATCAGCTGCTAGATATCCTTTCCAGCTCATGCTCAGCACTGGGTGGGTGGGCTGGTGGGCAGACACAGCTCAACCCCTCCCCAAGGCACCCAAGGGTCCACACACCTTTTACACCACTCGCTTTTAATTACACTGCATAAGGAAAGGCCTCTCCTCATGCCAGAACCCCCTGGCACAGGTCTCCAGGGAGCTGGCTGGCTCATCATGTCCTCAGTAGGTTTAGTGGTTCTCTCCCACCCTTCTCTCTTGCTTGGAAGCTCCTGTTGGTCAGTCCACATCATCCCTGCAGCCGTCACTTTGCAGAGACCTATTTCCATACATCTGTTTCTCCCCTCCTCGGTGCTTGAGCTTTGCCTGCTCAGTCCCATGGGAGTCCTGCTTTGGCCTCCTGCAGCACCAAGCAGAGAGGAGGCAGGACAAGAGTCATCGGTTAATAGTTGTTCTAGCCCCAATATAAATAGAAAAATACAATAAAACAAAGAATTGACTAGCTAAGAGAGCCAATCCGTTGGGATGCCTGCAACGTGCTAGTGCAGAGTTCAGAGAGAGTACTTGGTCCAGTGCATGGTACTGTAGATATCCAGAAACCTGTCCCGGAAGCCCCGCAGCCATCAAACCTTCCTGTGGCACCACATGTCTGTGTGAGCACAACCCAGCTGCAGTCAGCTCGCCCAAGGCTGTTGGTTCCTGGGAGCAGGCTGAATGGGAACTCTTGATAATAGTCTGATGTATTGCTGTTAAATGGTAAAGCCATTCTCTTCTGTGGAACGAGGATGTGCTTCTTATTTTTTGTGGAGGAATTTCATTTTGCTACCTGGAGAGATTAACAAAGGAAAATGGACTCCCATCAGAGACAGGCAAAACAAGCGTCATTCCCAACCATCACCATCTGGCCTGCAGCCGCCATCCCCAAGTCACTGGCTGATCTATTGCCTCCTCAGATCCACCTATGTCCTTTGAAAGACACAGATGTAGCTCCTGGCCCAATCTTTGGCTCTCCACCAGCTTCCAGACAAGCAGCAGTTCAGGGGGCAGAGCCAATAGCCTCCCAGATCACTCAAGGCTCAGAGCACTGCTGCTCTGCAGGAAGCCACACACAGTCACTAGCAGAGCCCTGCCACCCTTTGACAGCATCTCTGCTGCTAAATCTGATACATCAAGAAGCCCAAGACTCCTGAGAAGTGAAGGGTTTTGCTGGTTCCTCACCTAGGCCTTTCAGGAACTTATTGACTCCACTCTGCTCCCCACTGGGAAGTGTTTCCAGGTACTCCTGAGCCCGTACCTCAAACAGACCTGCGGAAAGAAGAAGTCAACATCTATTTTGCTTCATTATAAATAAAAGCAAGAATGCTCAGCTGAAAGAACACTGTCCCAGCTTACCAATAAAATATTGCGCACAGAATCACAGAATGGTTTGGGTTGGAAGGGATCTTAAAGATCATTTAGTTCCAACCACCCTGCCATGGGCAAGGACACCTTCCACTAGACCAGAATGCTCAAAGCCCCATCTAACCTGGCCTTGAACACTGCCAGGGATGGGGCAGCCACAGCTTCTCTGGGCAACCTCACAGTGAAGAATTTCTTCCTTATATCTAATCTAAATCTACCCTCTTCTAGTTTAAAGCCATTTCCCCTTCTCCTATCACTACATGCCCTTGTAAAAAATTCCTCTTCAGGTTCCTTGTGGCCCCTTTAGGTACTGGAAGCTGCTCTAAGGTCTCCCTTGAGCCTCTTCTTCTCCAGGCTGAACAAGCCCAGCTCTCAGCCTGTCTTCATAGGAGAGTGCTCCAGGCCTCTGAGCATTTTTGTGTGTGGCCTTCTCTTTCTAACAAATACGAAAGGGAATGACTCACCCCACCTCCTCCACCAGCTGAGCCCAGATCTGGGACAGGAGCTTTGGTCCACCTGCTCATTTTGTACCTTATATTAAAACTCTGTTCATTCTGGTACAGACACAGCTAAGTCCAGAGAGTGAGGTCGTCTGGGGAATCGTCACATAGGATTTACCATGCTGCAAAACCTCTTTTACTCAGCCACCTATTCAAGTGTCCACTGCTTATCAGTGCTTGGATGGAAACTGCTAAGCCATCACCAAGCAGCAGCAGGGATGAGACACTAGGATGAGCTGCCAGTAGAGTCCTTGGGAGTGTGGTATACCAGGAGTTAAAAAACAGAAGCAGCTCTTTGAAGGACAGAAGCATCCACCTTTTCTACTATCCAAGACATCATAACCAATCCAACCCATTCTTCCTCTAGACATGTGAAGGGGACATAAGTGACCGCAAAAATAAATGTCATTCCAACAGTGTAACCCTTCTGTGATGGTCCTGGTGGGAATTCAGTGTTGAACGGAAGAGGCACACATATGGAGGATACTGCTTATGTCCCTTACTTCAGTGGTGAATTGTGCCTGTAACCCCAAGAAGAAACTATCGGATGACACACAAAAAAATCCTGTTCTCCAACAGCTGGTTCACATGCACTGTGCAAACACTATATCTCACCTTTGGGGTGATGCTCCCTTTTGGGAAGATAAGGAAATAGAGACAAAAAAATCCCCAAGTGACTTCTCAAAGGCCACACTGGGGTGTCAGAGTGAACCATCAGCCTGCACAAGCGTTTCCCTACCACCTCCCTTCCGGTGTCCCTGCACAGACACTGCAGCCTACAGCCATGCTGCTGGAGATGGAGCTGGCAGCTGGTGAGCATCTGCCAGCTCTCACAGGAGCAACAGCAGAGTTTCCACAACAGCAGAGCCCAGGCAGAGCCCCTCACCTCTGACCCCCTGCTTCCGCAGCTCCCGCTCCTGAATGAAGCCCCCAAACATCTGTGTCTCCATGAAGACCTCCAGGAAGCGTCGAAGGCTCTTGGAGGAGACGGACTTGCGGAAAGCCTCACGCTGCAGGGTCCGCTCTTCTCTTTCGGAAGGGGTCAGGAAGAGGGAGTAGTGGCCCACAATCTCCACAAAGAAACGGACAAAGGCCTCGGACACCACCTCATTCAAAGGGCTTGTCTCTAAGGAGAAAACAAAGAGGCAGTGGTGAGGACACTGCTGTAAGGACGTGCTAAGAATAGCTCTGGGTACAAACTCCATCACTTTTTTCAGATCCAACCTGAGCAGAAAAAGCTGCTCAAGAGAGACAGCATCCTACAAAGACGAACGGCTGCTGCTGCTTTGAAAACCACCAAGTTTTCCCTTGGTTCTCAATCTCTCCAGTGGGATGGGGAGAGAATGAGACAAGTGAGAAAATTTGTGGGTTGAGATAGAGACAGTTTAACAGGTAAAGCAAAAGCTGCGCACACAAGCAAAGCAGGCAAGGAATTCATTCATCACTTCCCATGGGCAGGAAGGTATTTAGCCACCCCCAGGAAAGCAGAGCTCTGTCACACATAACAGTTACTTGGGAAGACAAGCGCCACCACTGCGAACGTCCCCCCTTCCTTCTTCCCCCAGCTTTAAATGCTGAGCATAATGCTACATGGCATAGGAAGTCCCTTTGGTACGTCACCTGCAGCTCTGCAGGTGGACTGTTCCCCCAGGAAGCCTGCATCACTCATAGGGTCAGCAGCAGAGAGTGTCCTGTGGGACCACCACCCTCCCCACCTCACACACAGGAGTACAGGGAAGTTGCACAGAGCTGGGAAGGGGCAAGTACTGCTTCTCCTCACACAAACAGAATGGTCCCCGGTGCAATGGAAGATTGAATACAGCTTCAACCAAACTCCTGACCTACCTCCAATTTCTGTGGTGTGAAAATCAGTACAAGCCTAGTTCTCCCCTAAGAAGCGACAGGAGAAAAAGGAGAAGGAAAAGACGTGGTTCAAAGCTGAGAGGCACTGTGCTTTACCCTGCTTGCCATTGACAGGGCCTTCCTCCTTGTCGCTCGCCAGCTCGTTCCTCTGCTCCAAAATGTGTTCTAGGGCAGCCTGCAGCTTGCGGGGCAGGATGGAGTCCTCATCTTCCATCTGTAAGACAGAGCCACCTCCTTAGGGCCTGGGGCCGGGACACAGCTGGCCCCTGCCCTTCTCCTCCCCAGCTCCTATCCTGTCCCCAGCACGGCAGGGGGAGCACTAAAAACAAACTCTGAGGAAAGGAAGAAGGAGAGGGAGAAGGTGTGGTATAGTATGCTTGGCACATTCCCAGCACATCCCAGTGCAGGGCCATCAAGAAGCACAAAAGAAAGGGGTGTCTTTTCCCAAATATTCCTATATTCTGAAGGAATTTCAGATGTCCAACCCAAGAGGCTACCAGGCAGGGTTCTCCCATGGCCTCACCATCCGCTTGTGAGCACTTGCACCACCACAAAGAGGACGTATCTGAACAATGCTGGCGTGCAGCCAGGTGAGCACAACCCCCTGCTCAGCTCTGCTCTGTGTTGATCCTGGTACTGAGGCGAGTTCCCATAGAGCAACAGGGCCAAGGAACTGTCTGTGACTGTGTGCCAGCTCCTGACAGCCCTGGCTGAGACAGCCTGGTTTACCTTAAACCTCCAAAAGCGAGGTGTGAGGTAAAGCATATCCCTGCAGCTAAGGCAGCTGGCAAGTGAGAACTGCACCAAAGGAGTGGCCTGCACTACATCCTACTTGCTGCAGCAGGAGGTGCACTCATCCCATCCTACTCACGGGATGTGAGGCACAGCAGAGACCAAGAGGACGAGAAGAAACAACCTCCAGCTGTGCCAGAGGAGATTTAGACTGGATATTAGGAAAAATGTCTTCACCGAAAGGGTGATCAGGCATTGGCACAGGCTGCCCAGGGCAGTGGTGGATTCACTATCCCTGGAACTGTTCAAAAACTGTGTAGATGAGCCCCCCAGTGACATGGTTTAGTAGCGGTCTTGGCAGTCCTGGGATAAAGGTTGGACTTGATGATCTTAAAGGTCTTTTCCAACGCAGCTGATTCTATGATTCTGTGATTCATTGCAGCCAGCACTGCTCAGCAATCTGCCAAAGAGCTCTGAGGCAAAAATAGCTTCCCAGGCCAGGATTATGTTCACTCATCTGTCTCTTCCCTTCAATATCCTACTCCTCTCCACAACAAAGGGAAGTAAAAATCAGGAGTCAATCTCATCTGCAGAGCAAAATACAGGCTCTCATGTACCAGCTTCCTTCTTATGACCTACCTAGTTCAAGGACTGGAGGGAGGAACCACAGACTCCTTGGGCAGGAAGGATTTGAAGAAATCATCATGGCTCTATTCCCCCCTCAGGGCTGGGGATGCGACAGGAGATGGACTGACAGACACAGGCTGGAAGAGCCTGTGCTTCTTCCTAGCAGACAGTGCTGAGTTGAGGCTTTCCAGCTCTGCCCTCAGCCTTACAATATGCCACTTAAGGACCCACAGTGCTCAAGTGCCACTGTTTCCCCTCTTAAAACAGAGAGAGAATGCACAATGATTTGGCCCTCAACAGCTGTAGTTTGGGATGCTGACATCACATAGCAACCCCTGTAATGCTGCCCACCACAAACGCTGCATCAGTTTGTGAGGGGAGTAAGCAATCCATCCATCCTTGCAGGCCAGCCAACACAGATGGAGGTGAAGTGTGGTGGAAAAAGGGGAGAGAAAATGAAGGATACGATGTAGCTCTGCTCACCTGTCTCAGAAACCGGTTATTTACAAGGTCAACAACAAGGACCTAAGAATGGAAGAGCAAGAATAAAAAAAAGAAAGTCATTATTTCCATCATCAGAGTTTATCTTACTTTGTAAGTGCCCTGGAGGAAATGCTTCAGCCCTGTCCTGCTCCTCCTCCCCACCACCACAGCTGAAGGAGCAGTCAGCTTAAGAAAGCAGCCCTTGCTGTAGCTTTCCAGCAATGCTGCCACACACTGCAGCACAGCTTGGACGGCAAGAGGCTATCCTTCAAGCCAGGCCAATGCTCCTCACCCCACACTGGGGTCTGAGCTCCATCTTTTGTCCTCATGCGCTTCCCCGCTGTCCCCTGCGTGGGCTGGGAGGGAAAAGCCTCCTTGACTACATTCAGCCTTTCTGAGTGCACCACCTAGTGCACCATGAATCTGGTTCTTAATTACTTACTGGTTCATTAGGCACCTGTGTTAATGAGAGGGGCAGCTACCCTGGCCAATTTGTAGCAATCATACTTCAAGCCTGGCAGACTTTGTGCTCATCCCCTAGACAGGACTTTGCAGAAACAACAGAAACTGTAATCAAATCATCTCCTCCCTACAGCAGCCCCTTGGCGGGAGATCCAGCCTCCCGCTTCCCAAACTGTGGACAAGGAGGGTGCAGCCCCCCACCTCCCCACGGGCCATCCACCTCCTCCCTCACCCTATGCTCACAGGAGATGGAGAATGAGAGCTGAGCTTCTTCATGCTGCAAGGCAGACTCTCAAAAGCAGCCTTTCTGGGAGAGAAAACAACTCAGTCCACTGGAAGCAACCAAAAGCAAGGCTCACCTCCTCCACTGGGAGCTCCTTCAGGCGGGGCAGAGAGCTGGAGAGCAGGCCGATGAGAAAGGGGGTGGGCGAACACACGATGTCGATCATGGAAGGTGGCAGCACAGGGATGTACGTGTGTTGCCAGGTGAAGGGGTACAGTAGTGCCACTGTGGCATGGCAACACTTGGAAAGAGTGCTGGAAGATGAAACACAACCAAGCGCAATGGCTGATCAGTCAGGAGATAAGTGACATCCTAGAAGTCAGGGATCTTTCACTTGTTCCCTGATTATCTCTGCAATTACTGAGGGCTTTCACAGATTTCTGACACCAGCTTCAGGCGCAATGACTTGACATAGGAGCCCAGGTTAGGAAAGATCATAGAATGGTTTGGGTTAGAAGGGATTTTAAAGAGCATCCAGTTCCACTCCCCTGCTGTGGACAGGGACAGCTTCCACTAGACCACATTGATCAAAGCCCTGTCCAACCTGGCCTTGAACACTGCCAGGATGGGGCAGCCACAGCTTCTCTGAGCAACCTGTGCTGGGGCCTCAGCACCCTCACAAGGAAGAATTTCATAGAATCATAGAACAGTTAGGGTTGGAAAGGACCTTAAGATCATCTAGTTCCAATCCCCTGCCACGGGCAGGGACACCCCACACTGAACCGTATCACCCAAGGCTTCGTCCAATCTGGCCTTGAACACTGCCAGGGATGGAGCATTCACAACCTCCCTGGGCAACCTATTCCAGTGCCTCACCACCCTCACAGTAAAGAATTTCCTCCTTATATCCAATCTAAACTTCCCCTGTTTAAGTTTTAACCCATTACCCCTTGTCCTGTCACTACAGTCCCTAATGAAGAGTCCATCCCCAGCATCCCTATAGGCCTCCTTCAGATACTGGAAGGCTGCTATGAGGTCTCCACGCAGCCTTCTCTTCTCCAGGCTGAACAGCCCCAACATCTCAGCCTATCTTCATACAGGAGGTGCTCCAGCCCCCTGATCATCCTTGTGGCCCTCCTTTGGACTTGTTCCAACAGTTCCATGTCCTTTTCTTCTTAATAGCTAATCTAAATCCCCCTCTCTGTCAGTTTAAAGCCATTCCTCCTTGTCCTGTCCCTACAGGCCCTTGTCAAAAGTCCCTCTCCAGATTTCTTGCAGGCTGCTTTAGGTACTGGAAGCAGCTCTAAGGTCTCCTAACAGCCTCTTCTTCTCCAGGCTGAACAAGCCCGACTCTCTCAGCCTGTCTCCACAGGAGAGGTGCTCCAGCCCTCTGATCATCTTTGTGGCCTCCTCTGGACTTGCTTGAGCAGCTCCACATCAATCTTGTATTGGGACCCCAGAGCTAAACACAGTACTCACGAGAGCAGAGCAAAGGGGCAGGATCACCTCCTTTGACCTGCTGGTGACGCTCCTTCTGATGCAGCCCAGGATACTGTTGGCTCATGTTCATTTTCTCATTGACCAACACCCCCAAGCCCTTCTCCACAGGGCTGCTCTGAATCTCTTCTCTGCCCAATCTGTAGCCATGCCTGGGATTGCCCTGACCCAGGTGTAGGACCTTGCACTTGGCTTGGTTGAACTTCATAAGGTTGGCACTGGCCACCTCTCAAGTGCGTCCAGATCCCTCTGGATCCCATCCCTTCCCTCCAGTGTGTCAACTGAACCACGCAACTTCTGTCATCAGCAAACTTGCTGAGGGTGCATCAATCCCACTGTTCATATTGCCAACAAAGATGCTGAACAGCACCGGTCCCAGTGCCTACCCCTGAGGAACATCACTCATCACCGGTTTCCATTTGGATACGGAGCCATGCAACCATCTAGCCAATTTCTTATCTATCGAGTGGTGAATCTGTCAAATCCATGCCTCCCCAGTTTAGAGACAAGGATGTCATGCAGGACAGTGTCAAATGCCTTGCCATGGATACATCTTGTCAGGTCCCACGGACTCGTGCACCTTCAAGTTCCTAAGATGCTCTTGAACCTGATGTTCTCTTACAGCAGGCAGTTCTGCATTCTCCCAGTCCCTGCCTTTGCCTCCTGTGGCTTGAGTGGTGTGGCTGGAGCTGTTGCTGGTGAAGACCAAGGCAAAAAATTCATTGAGTATCTCATCCTTCTCCATGTCCCAGGTGACCAGGTCTCCCATTTCCTTCCAGAAGGGTCCCATATTTTCCCTTGTCTTCCTTTCATGCCCAATTTACCTATAGAAGTTTTTCCCATTGACCTTAATATCCTTGGCTGGATTCAATTCTGTCAGGGCTTTAGCTTTCCTAACCTAGCCCACATGCATGTGACAAGAGACTGATACAATATATTGTACAAGTGTTGATGGTAGTCATAGGTATTTTTGCACATGGGTCAAGATGACCATCAGTAACAATAAGGAATTTGTGAGTAAAACCAAGACTCGTTTCTGTTTAAAAGATCCAAGGAGAACATCCAGGATTGATTATACCAAGAATAAGTTATGTGACAGCTTGGCAAAGTGACCATTTGATTAACCAGCTTGGTAATGAAAGAAACTTTAGGTGTCCTGAAGTCAGTTGCCTTCATTGTAATACTAAAAATCACACCCACAAGTCAGAGAGTGCCCAGCCAAGGTGAAGACCCCTCCTCTGAGCATGCATAGCGATTAGAAGGAATGAGCAAATATCATATGTAGATTAGATGTAGATTGCTCTAATTATATGTAACTGGGAGTGCATTACATTTGTATCTTTTGTGTATAAATGCAATGAAGGAACCGGCATTGTTGTGCTTGATCTGTGAACACTCCACCAAACAGCCAGGCCTGAACACACACAGTATCTCTCTTGAGCGTGTGGAGTTGGTTTACTGCATGCCAGGCATGAGCCTGCTTTTTGGACAACAAAATAGGTCCCACTGAATCCAGCATCAGCTGTTCCAGTACCCTGATGGGAAAGACTAGATGGATGTGGGGTCATCCACAGCACTGGCTTTCATTAGAGAAATTACTTTATTCTCCCACAGCATTTCAGGTTCCATGGGAAAGCCACAGGTCTGAATGTACAGGGGCTATACTGTCCAGCAGAGACATCACACAGCCATGGGCATACAGAAGACAGCCCCACCACTACAACAGCTACCTACTGGGCTGCACTGTGGCCCACATACCTGCTTGGCCACACTCTTGTCAGCACAGCTTGACAGCTTGCCTGGATGCTCTGGCAAAGCCCTTGGCACAATCTACAGCTGCAAGGTCCCCTGGATTGTTCCAGTTATGGTCCAGCCCTGCCCCTTGGCTTTCTACCTGTGCAGCATACAGGCTTTGCTTCTGGGCAGCCCTTAGCAGGAGTAATTACATGCCAATGGCATGAATTTCTATTAGTCCGAATCATATGATAGCTCCTAGCAGTCAAGCCAGAGCTCGGGGGAAGGAGGAAGGAGCGGTCTCTAGCTGAAGCTAGCCAGACACCCCACAGCTTTAGGAGACTGCCAAGACTCTTCAGAACCACGGGAGAGTGAAAGTGCAGGAGGGGAGCACACGGCTAGCTCCTGGAGGAAGATGCCCCACAGCTCATAGGAACTTCCTTCTTCCCCTTCAAACGCCACCAGCAGCTCAGCCAAAAGTGCTTTCGCTGACAAATTCCAAGGGGGTCTGTCCAGAAACCCCATCAGCTCTCTAGCAGGAGGCAGGCAGGGTCTGCAGTCAGAGACGGCAGAGCCTGCTGCAGGGCACCAGTTACTCATCTGTTCTGGGTCTGGAAACATTTGTATGTGTCAAGGGAGGGGGGAAGGCTCACCACTATAAACCCTGTATATAACATCATTTTGTTTTACTAGCATCCAGGTCTCTGAAGGCTGGAGGAGGGGAAGAAGCTGGTGCAGCCGGATGCCCAGCTGGCTCCTGTGGAACTCCATGGGGGAATTTACACTCAGCAACCCGGATCTGGCAGTTTATTGCTGACTGGAGAGGGAAGTGGTTTGATGGGTGTGGGCTTGAGCTCACTCTGGAAAGTGGAGCCTGCTTTTCCTCCCCCCTCACCCCAGCTAAGCCTGGTAGATTGGAATCCCTGTGCTGCAACACTTAACACACGCTGAGCAGAGTGGTCTGGCTGGGCTGCAGCTGGCTGGCTTTCTTCAGGTAAGTTCAGTTAGCAGAACACAACTGTGGTTGCTGGGATGTCAGTGTGACCATATGAAGTAATCGGGCAGCAAACATCATTAAACACATGATGTTTTTTAGGGATGAGTAAATATTATCTAGGGCTGCAACAGGCAGGGAACAGGCCCTTGGGAGGAACACCTGGGACTTGTGTGCTGAGAAAGTCTCTCAAGATGGGGACAGTTTCCCCTTCCTCCACTCCCAGAGGCTTGTCTCTTAAGGAGATACTGCAAAGGAGGACACTACAAAGGCTGTGTCAACAGACTGGTAGCTTTAAGCCTTTAAATGGGGAAAGCCCCCTCAGTTCCACAGGCTTGTTTAGAAAGGTCATAGAGCACCCCCTTCCTTCTCCACATTCCTTCCTGCCCCTCTGTCACTGTTCTCAAGCAGAGCCTGCCCTCCTCAGCAAGCCCATGTCTTGCTGTGCCTACCATACATGCAAGGTAGATTCAGAGAGAAACAAAATGAAAATAATGAGAAGACACAGAGATAGTAACAAACAGGAACATTAAAAAAAACCCTCAAACACAAGAAAACCCACACAGAAAAAGCATGGGAACAATACCAGAGTAGATGGCTTTTCTTGTACCTTTCATACAAGCTGATCTTGAAAGGAGCTGCAACAAAGTGAATGTGCCACCCTTCAAGTGCACTCCAAGTTAATGAGATACTTTAAAAACTGCCTCCTTTGAGCCTGAGCTACTTGCACACGTGCACATTTCAGGCAACATTAGCAGATTCAAAAGCAGGGGTTTCTCTTCCCCTCCATTACTGCAGGGTGTGCTTTCTACTCCACAATTTCTGACTGATAACAGCATAACAGCAGGAGCATCACAGTGAAAGCTGAAAGGACTCCTTTCATCACTTCTTTGCAGCACTGTGGCATTACTCTTCTAGACCACCACCCCTGGACTTCCTCTTCTTTGAGGAGAGGTTGAATGTGGAAGTGTTGGAAGTTTCACCTCTGTCACAAATCCTCGGCTTTCCTGCCTAAAGATGGGACTTTATAGACAGGACCTGAAAACCAGTGAAAAAGATCTCTGTGTTTCCAGATAGCTCCACAGAGAA